CAGGGACCCAGAAAGCTAGTAAAGACCCTTTGAAGGATCTGTAGGCCCAAGATCCCGGCTGTCATGGGGATGCCGCTTCAGTTTCCTGACCACACTCCATCTCTGGCCTTGTCCTAGTCCACCTATATACGTATCTTTTGAGCAATCCCATGCCAGGGGTGGCCTGTCTCAAAACCTGGTAGGAACATGGGAGACTCAAAGAGCCGGGAACAAGGGGCATCCAGAGGTCTGCACCTGTCCTAGTGCGGGTACCCTGGGAAATATCTCTTCTGCCTCTTAGAAGATGAACCCCATTGCCACATCAGGGCATCGGGGCTTCCCAGACCTCAAAGCCACACTTCCACTTCTGGGACACTGGCCAGAGCCAGCAGTTAATTCTTTGGTAACCACAGTGCAGGCTGATGCTCTTTAGCAGATGCCAAGAGTGATGGAGAAGCCTCTGCCGCCGCCCTGGGGCAGCCAAGAGGAGCCACCCATCCTGGGATGTTGCTTGCAGCCTCTGCCTCCCCTGCCTCTGGGTCCTCAGAATTGCCCTGTGAGCCTGAGTCTGTATCAGCAGTCTAGATGGTAGATTATTCCAGCCACCTGGGCCTGCTCTCCACGTTTGTCACCTAGCCTACTCTGCTCCCAGCTGAGGTCAAGAGCACACATTGCTCCAGGGTTAGCAGTATCAGCCCCGCCCCAGGGTTCCTGGAAAAGCCTTTCAACCTGTGGAAGTGGGGGTGGGCAAGGGAGTTACCATAGCTCCAGGAAGCACACCGGTGGTGCTGGCTGCTGTGGGCAAAAGCTCTACTTGGAGGCTTTCTAGTATTGCCACAAACGAGCCATGTGGCAAAGGGTCTCAGTTGGTAGCAACAGCCTCCACCCCAGTCCGCCTACTGGCTGCCTGACCACATCCGATCAAATCTCACTAGCAGATGTCAGCCAGACTGTCAAGGGATGGCAGGCAAATCTGTGTGAAGGCTGGTGGCCCTCAGTGGTCCCAGGGAAGGCAGGAGCAAAGACCAGCCAGCCTTGAGGGAGTCTCCAGGCATTGCCACGTACAAAGCGGAAAGACAGCAGCGATGGCTCCCAGGTCTTAGGTCTACCTGTCTTCTGACCCCACCTGCTGTGCACATCTGGTCCAAGAGCCTGGGTCTGCACATCTGCCAAATGGAGGCAAAGATACCAACCTTAGGGGAGGATGAGCTAAGGGACATGCCAGTCAATTCTACCGTCCAAGGCAACTGGACATATTTCAAGGACAACTGAGGTCAAGTTTCTTGTCATTCTGACTTTTGCTGGTTGGATAATAACTAAACAGCAGACAGTCCCAGGCACTTTTCTGAGAATTTTACATGCTTAATTCCTGTAATCCTATTACGCTTGTGTTGTTTGTGGCTGAGGGGGAGCTATCTTATCCAAGGTCATTCAGTTAGTGTGCTGGTGAGAGACATTCCCTCCAAGTCTGTTCTTGAGGATGCAGATAATCATGGACCTGCTATCATCCAAGTCAGTCATGACATCATACTGCTGAGCTACTGAGCCCCAGAGGGCTCGGCCATGAGCTGGACAAAACCAGGCTGGGTGGCACTCCACCCGAGTCAGCAGGCCCTCAGTTTGGGGAAAGGTCCAGGAAGGGGTTAGCTGGTGGTCTATGAGGTACTTCTGTACAGTTGTCAGCCTTTGGAGTGACTCCTGGCAGCATATACCTGTAGTCTGCTGCTGGGAAGGCAAGAGCATTGCAAGTTCAAGACCAACTGGGCAACTTAGCGAGACCTCTTCCCAAAATAAAAAGGAGAACTGGCAGGCGAAGAGGCTCGGTGGGTAAAAGTCCCCGCCTTCAGGCATGAGGACCAACATGGCGGAAGCAGAGAACTGACTTCCATTAGCTGACCTCTGACCTCCCCACGAGAGTAATGTTTACACACAGGTGCACACAAGCACACACTAAATAAAAATGTGGCTGGGCAGTGGTGGTGCATGCCTTTAATCCCAGCACTCGGGAGGCAGAGGCAGGCGGATCTCTGTGAGTTTGAAGCCAGCCTAGTCTACAAGACCTAGTTCCAGGACAGCCTCCAAAGCCACAGAGAAACCCCCCCCCAAAAAAATGATTAAGGGAGCTGGAGAGCTGGCTCTTGGAGATAAAGGTTGCTTTTCCAGAGAACCAGGTTCAAGTCCCAGCATCTGTACACATAAAATGAAATGAAATTAAGAATTTTTAAATTTGCAGCTGGACAGCGGTATTGCATGCCTTTAATCCCAGCACTCAAACTCGGGGAGACAGAGGCAGGTAGATCTTTGTGAGTTTGAGACCAGACTGGTCTACGGAGTGAGTTCCAGGACAGCCAGAGCTACACAGATAAACTCTATATTGAAAAAGTTTTTTAAAAAATTTAAAAAGTAAAGAAGAGGGGCTGGAGAGATGGCTCAGAGGTTAAGAGCACTGCCTGCTCTTCCAAAGGTCCTGAGTTCAATTCCCAGCAACCACATGGTGGCTCACAACCATCTTCTGCAGGTGTATAATAAATGAATAAATAGATATATGAATACATAAATCTTTAGAGAGAGAGAGAAATAGGCTGCTCTTCTAGAGGTCCTGAGTTCAATTCCCAGCACCTACATGGTGGGTCACAGTCATCTACAGTGAGATCTGGTGCCCTCTTCTGGTATACACACATACACACAGGCAGAGCACTGTACATAATAAATAAATAAATAAATGTTTAAGAAAAAGACTGAGGCTGGGACTCAGTGGTGGAGCACTTGCCAAGCAGCACAAAGCCTAGGGTTTGAACCCTAGTACAAAGCCAAAATACCCACTCCTACAAAAGAGAGCCCAACCCAGCCATGATCCCAGCACACACCAATCAAAACTTTCAGATTACAACATTCTTTAAAGAAATAGCCGAGGATCCAACCTTCGGGGCTTCCAACCTTCTATAATTCAACAAGTATGACAAAGGAGGACCTTTCTTACAAGGTCACCCAGCCAAGAAGCACAACAGCATATCTGGTCAGACCTAGAAGGCCCCTGGGTCTGATTGCAGGAAAAGCTAGAGCTGGGCACTGGAGGCTGGGCACTGGAGATCTGGGCACTGGAGATCTGGGGACTGGAGGCTGAGGACTGGAAGCTGGGGACTGGAGGCTGGGCACTGGAGATCTGGGCACTGGAGATCTGGGGACTGGAGGCTGAGGACTGGAGGCTGGGGACTGGAGGCTGGGGACTGGAGGCTGGGGACTGGAGGCTGGGCACTGGAGGCTGGGCACTGGAGATCTGGGCACTGGAGATCTGGGGACTGGAGGCTGAGGACTGGAGGCTGGGGACTGGAGGCTGGGCACTGGAGATCTGGGCACTGGAGATCTGGGGACTGGAGGCTGGGAACTGGAGGCTGGGCACTGGAGGCTGAGGACTGGAGGCTGGGCACTGGAGGCTGGGCAAGAGCTTGGGCGTATTGATAATACACTCTGGTCATTTCTAAAAACAAGAACAAAACCAACCTGCTTTTGGGCCTAGGGAGCTGTCCCTTCCCCAGGCTAGAGTCAGGACTAGGCCCGGACAAGCCTAGGAGGCATAGGGTATAAGCCAGGCCCATTCTCAGGAACTTCCAGACTAGCCAAGCAGCCTGATAGCTTGACAAGGCAGAAGCACCATGGAGTTCAGAGACCCCCCCCCCCAGAGGCAAAAAGATGACATCTGGAGCCAAGCTGCCATCTTGGGAATCGCTCACTCATTCAGAAGAGTGTGCCCATTGCCAAGTCAGGGAAAACTGAACCGCAAGAGTGTTCTGGGTAGGACCTGGATGGCGGGAAAGCAAGGGGCCAGGACCAGAAACTGGGCATTCTAAGTCTCGTGTTAGGAGGCAGGTGAGGTCTACACCGCTCTGGCGTCCCTCCCGTCAGGGTACCTCGAGGACGGACCCTCTCAAGGGGTCCTTAGCCACTTCTCCAATCACTGGCCAGCAGCCTAACCCTTGGGAAAAGAGATGGGGAGGGAACCTGGCCTGCCTTCTCAAGTCTTCATCCACCGGCTGCGATTCCGGTTAAAGGGGGCTGTTCCTAGCCACGGTGTGGTGTTCCGGCCCTTGCAGAGGCAGCTTCAGGGACCCCTCTGGGCTCAATAGGATTTGTTTTGTTTCCCAAGACAGGGTTTCTCTGTGTAGCCCTAGCTGTCCTGGAACTCACTCTGTAGACCAGGCTGGCCTCAAACTCACAGAGATCCACCTGCCTCTGCCCCGGATTAAAGGCCTGCACAGGCACCACCGCCATGCTTCAATAGAACTTCTTGAATGGTAAAGGGCGCACACACTAGGTGCTCAAGTGGTGTGGCTCTGAACCGAAACTAACAGAGCAAAGTGCTGCAGTGCTCGGGGCTTCCTGTAGCCTCCCCTCCCCCGAGTCAGTTCGCCGCTGCCCACAGGCTCTCTCGCCCTGTAGTAACTACCGGTTATGAACTTCTACTGTTTGCACAGGCTGGTTTTCAGGGGCACGTTCCAAGGAGAAAACTTCTATCGCGCTTGGGGGGCTCAGAGCAGCACCTATGTCAGTGAGTGCCTAACAAGCAGGAAGGACAGAGACCAGGGACATTTGCCAGGAGGAATGAGAAAGATTTACAAATAGAGGGAACCGGCCAAGCTGGGGACCCTTAAAGTGGAGGAGCTCTAAGGCCGAGGAGCAGACCGGGGTATCTTGTTTACCCCGTGCCATGGGCTGGTCCAGGACAGTTGTCCCATCAGGCCACTATGCACAGTGAATGAGGAACTCTGGGGACCAGGTAGCCCCGACTCCCGGCCAGTGGTCCAGCAGGCATGAGGTATGGCCAGGGAATGGTATAGGGGAAGAAGTCTCCAAGGAGCATCTCCTGGTGACTAGCCTGCACAGGTCCCGAAGGCCGGTCCCGGGCCTGTCCCTTCAGGGCACGGGGCCTTCTTTTCCCTTTAAGAGAGCAAAGGTTGTTTATACCCAGGGCGGCGGTGGCAGGAGCGGCTTACCTGCTTCCCGTCACCCGCCGCCGCGGGGCAGGGTACGGGAAGGAGGAGCCGGCACTCAGCCTGCGTACTGCAGAGAGACAGACCAACAGACACTCGCCAGGCGACCGGCCGGGGGTCCTTGGGGCCCGGAAGCCGCGAAAGAGCGGGACACCAAACTTGGAGAGAGGAGTGACCTGGGGGCCGGGGGCGGAGTCGTGAGCGGGGGGAGGAGAGCGCCAGCGCCAGCTCCAGCCAGAGGAGCGCGCCGGCCCAGGAAGCCAGAGCGCCGCCCACCCATCCGGGGCGAATCGCGCGGGGAAGCAGGCTGGGCCGGGGGCTGCCAGCCTCGACCCCCACGGTGACCCCTCGGCCCCCCAGCCCGGACTCAAGATGATGAAGAGGCAACTGCACCGCATGCGGCAGCTGGCCCACACGGGCAGCTTGGGACGGTGAGTGTCACCCCCTTCGAGCGCTTGCTGTCGCCCCGCAGGACCTGAGCGGGTGCAGGAGAGCGGGGGGGGGGGGGGGGGAGGGAAACCAGTCAGGGAGGTCGGGGACATCTAGCCAGCGGCCCTCTGGTATGCCAGAGCCCTGACCTCGCTTCCCGGCGTCTGAAGCCACTGTGGTCGCACAGGCACAGCTGGCCTTTGCGGGGAACGGCACCTCCATTCCTGGTTGGAAAGGCTACAGAGAGCAGAATACGCCTTGAGCCTGGACGCTGCCCAGAGCCTCATTGGTCCCCTCCGGACAATGGGAACAGTTAACCACCCCTAACTGCAGGGTTGGGGAGGAACCGAGCCGATCGGGGGCCCCAGACCCTGGGGGAAGGGGACTGGCGGTGTTCTGGCCTGGGGAGGAGGGGCCTGCTCTGCGCTGGGTGTCCGTCCCCTCCCCCAGCTCAGGGGCCTCCTTCAGCAAAGTCCTGCTTCTGCTTTTCGAAGGCTCAGGTAGAGAGAGGCACCCTCTGGTCTCTTCGGTCCCCAGCTCCAGAACTAGGGGAGCGGAAGTTTGGGGAGTTTTCTCGGAGCTTTTCTCTCGCTCCTCTTCCCCAGCCTGGGAGTTCCCCATTCTTTGGGCCCAGGGAGGGAGTATCCAGAAACTTGATCGAGTCCTACAATGACATAGACACCTGCGAGCACCTACGAAGCCAGGCCACTTTGCTCTGAACCCATGTCCCTATGTGCCCGGGGCAGAGTCCCGGGACCTGCCCACAGCTGCAGTCCACTATCGTGCCTGTGGGCCTGACCACCCCGGAGGCCAGCTTCCACACTTCCCGTTCTGGGGGGGCCAGCCTCGGCCTCCTCTTTCCGGGACAGGCAAACAATTTGGGGGATGGGACAAGAGAAACTTTGCCTCTACGTTCCAAAGTTGAGCCCTGGGTAGCTCCCTCCTGCCCTTTTGGTGTCATGGGAACACCCTCTCCCAGGGCACAGCCCTGGGTGGAGGAGGAAGCAGGCGTGCATCCTCTAAAACCCATGGAATGTGCTCCAACTGCGGTGCAGACAGGCCACCCAGGCTGGGTGGGTCCTGGAAGCAACCGGGGCCCAGGTGCCATGTGCAGGGGCCAGTGGGAGGCAGTGGGCTTCCTAACCCAGACTTACTCAGCAGAAGCCCCCTCCCCCCGCAGCACCCCAGAGACTGCCGAGTTCTTGGGTGAGGACCTGCTGCAGGTACGTGCCTGGGCGGGCCGGGCCGGGCTGGGCTGGGCTGGGAGGCAGGTCTGTGCAGGCTGTCAGTTTCGAGGCTGACAGGCGGGACAACAGTCCAGGGCCTGGTTGAGTCATTCCCTTCTGGCCAGGGGAGCCCCAGAAGGGGAGAGAAAAGTACTCTTGCTCCGGGAGGACAACACAGCAATCACCCCTTACGGTCTACAGTCCCCACGTGTCCCCCCCCTCTGCCTCCCAGGTGGAGCAGCGCTTGGAGCCAGCTAAGCGAGCAGCCCACAATGTTCACAAACGCCTGCAGGCCTGTCTCCAGGGCCAAAGCGGGGCTGACATGGACAAGCGGGTGGTAAGTGGGGGTCACCCAGAGAAGGGGCCTGAGTGGTGAGGAATGGAGTGGGAATGAGACCCCCTCTCTGGGTTGGCTGCGGTTTGCTACCAACCAGCGCACCCCCAGGCCTTCTAGGTGGGCGGAGCACCGTTTGAGCTGGATGGGGGTGCTCACTGTTACTCAGCAGGCAGCCTGTATTGACTTCTGCCAGACTGTTGCTAAGACCCACAGTGCATTTCTCCCCAAGAGCGCTGGCAAAAGTCTCTTGTATAAGTCACTTGTGTGTAATGGGAAACCAAGACCTAAATTTACCAACCCAGGGTCACACAGCTAACAAGTGGCAAAAGCGACCCCTGTGGTCCCTCTGATTGTAAAATGTAGTGTGTAGTGTTCTCCATAACTCCAGGTGGAAGTAAAGGGATGTTTACATTTTCCTATGGTTGGAGCTGCAGGATTGGCTCCGAAGAAGCCCTCGCTCTTGCAGAGACTAGGTTGGGTTCCCACCACCCACATGGTTCGTAACTATCCAGTCCCAATCCCGTGGACTTGGACACCCTCTCCAGTGCTCTGAGGGCCGCAGGCATGGTTGCCCTCCCTAGAAGGGCCTGGGTGTGAGGCAATAGGCAGTCTTGGAGAGTTTGAGCTAGGTGGTGACTGGATTGACCCCTATGCTCTGAGGTAGGGAAGGAGGGTCATCTTACCCCTAAGCCACAAGGCCAGCTCTTCTCTTTGCAAAGGTGTGACCTTGGGACAGCTTCCAGCTCCCTCTCTCTGCATGGTAGTTCCCTAGTCTTCCTGGGTCTCAGCATTTCTTCTTGCCTAGGTAGTAGGTAGGCGATCATGTATGTGAGTGTGTGAGGCCACACACACACACACACACACACACATACACACACACACCATCCAGTTTCTATTGGTTGGCTCCTCCCTCTGCGGGCCTGTGTGTGTGGCCAGATGATCGGGCTCAGGTTGGGCGGAGGAGACTGGTAAACTCACGCTCCCCCCACCCACCCTCCCTGCAGAAGAAGCTCCCTCTCATGGCTCTTTCCACCACGATGGCTGAAAGCTTCAAAGAACTGGATCCCGATTCCAGCATGGGGTGAGCATGGGTGGGGCCTGGCTCTTCACTAGAGAGGGTGCCAGGGAGCAATGGGAGGGGGGGTCAGAGCAGCCAGAGCGTCTACCTCAAAAGGACAGCCAAGCTGGGAGTAATGTCCAGGCCATAAGACCTGAGAAGGCAGAGGAAATGGAGAGGCAGGGGCCTCCCAGTGTTTCTAGGTGGAGGCGAGTGACAGGGTAGTGTTGGCCCCTCGTGCTCTCTGTCCGCAGGAAGGCCTTAGAGATGAGCTGTGCCATCCAGAACCAGCTGGCCCGAATCTTGGCGGAGTTCGAGATGACCCTGGAGAGAGATGTCCTGCAGCCGCTCAGCAGGCTGAGCGAGGTGACCCTGTCCCCCAACCCCGGCCTCCCTGGACTCCTGCTCCCCCTGCCCTGCCCACCCAGGCTCCTGAACCCTCCCTGTGTCTACCTCAGGAGGAGCTGCCTGCCATCCTCAAGCATAAGAAGAGCCTGCAGAAGTTGGTGTCGGACTGGAACACCCTCAAGAGCAGGTGAGCGCCTGAACCTAGTCCAGCCGTCGTAGGGCTCCTCAGGCCCGTTGGGTACTGTGACCATGCTGGCCCTCGGGAACACATGTGGTAAAGGCATATATGTGTGAGGGTGTGCATGTGCTCCCTGCGCCACAGGTGACCCCAGAACTAGGAAAAACAGCCACTTTCCAAGGTCCTTATACGGTTGTAGGGCTTCTAGTCTGCGTTCTGGAGCTGGGTAGCTGTAATCACCAGGAACACCACCAGAGGGAGCCCTACAGAGCTTTGGCCGAGTCTGGGCAGAGGCCCAAGGAATTTCTGTTTTGCCTCTGTAAACCCTAGAGTCCTGTGTGATTACGTGTATGGAGGGAACACTTAGCAATGGCCACGAAATGGGGCCAGTGACCACCCACCTTGGGACCCTCCCCAGGCTCAGCCAGGCAGCCAAGAACTCAGGGAGCAGCCAAGGCCTGGGTGGTGGCCCAAGCAGTCACAGCCACGCCACCACTGCCACCAAGGTGGACACACTGAAGGAAGAGGAGGAGGAGCTGAAGAGGAAGGTGGAGCAGTGCAAGGTGAGAGGTCATGTGGCATCTCCGAGTAGGTGATAGGCGCGGGTATCCAGCCCAACTTACAGATGGGAAGACTGAGGCTCAGAGAGGGGACCAGACTGACCACGGCAGCTCTTGAGTTTTAAATCCAGGCGGTTAGGGGGTCAGTGTCTATGTAGCAGAGCACTACCTAGAGCCTCTGCCGTGCTCACCGTGTGCATTAATGGCTGGGATGTGGTTGTTTGGACTCTCAGTGTCCAATGAGTGAATGAGTGAATGAATGAATAGCATGTGTATGATGAATGATTTATGAGAGAATGGGCAGTGTTTTCTGGGTAGGTGAATGAACGGATGAGTGGCGTTTGCTGAGTAAATGGCCGGTGTCCGTGGTGTCAGTGAATGGAGGGTAAATGAAGGAATGGATGCGCGGCGGATAAGAACACATTGAACTAAGGACCTGGAGGCTCAGTGTAAAGAACTGGGAGCCAGAATAGGAGGTGGTCCGGTGGGCAGGCCCCAGGTGCAGGCCCCACGTGCAGGCCCCGGCCGAGAGAAAGCTGCCTGGACCTTCCATGTACAGCTCCTAGCTGTGAGCAGCACTCCAGTGCTCAGCTTCCTGGCCGACCCCAGCCTCTCCTGTCCTCCCCTTCTGTCCCCAAGGATGAGTACTTGGCTGACCTGTACCACTTTGCCACCAAGGAGGACTCATACGCCAACTACTTTATTCATGTGAGTCCGAGGCCCACCTCCAGACACCTGAAACCAGGGCGGATGCCACAGGGAAGCACTTCTGGGACTCCCAAGAGGTGGCTGGTGTGTGTTCTGGAGACCCTGGGGAGTTCTGCGCTTCCCTCATTTCTCTGGGGACCCTTTGTCCCCACAGCTCCTGGAGATTCAGGCCGACTACCATCGCAGGTCACTGACCTCACTGGACACGGCCCTCGCTGAGCTCAGGGACAACCACAGCCAAGCAGGTGGGGCATGAGTGAGCCAGCCTCACACCTCTGACCCTAGGGCTCTGTAAAAGTGTGCTCCGTAGTCAGGCGTGGTGGTGAACACATTAGTACCGGCACTCGGGAGGCAGGCACAGGTGGATCTCTGAGTTCAAAGCTAGCCTACTTTACATGGAGAGTTCCTGGACGGCCAGGGTACCCTGTCTGGAAAACTAGAAACAAAAAAATAAAAGTTTTCTCCTCGTCCAGAAAGGCAGAAGGGAGCCGTAGATGAGCTGGGAGAGGGCTGGATTAGGTCTTTGTGGGTGGACTTCCTACTGCTGGAAAAAAAGAGCCAAGAGAACTTCTAGAAGTTCTCTTCTAGAACTTCTAGATGGGAACGGCAGGGCAGTGGAGGTGGGCAGACTCAAGAGACAGGCTAGACGGTTGTGTGTGTGCAGGGTGGAAGGTGGATCCCTGGAGATGCCCTGCTGCCTGGGCCGCTGATGTGTCTCTTTTCCACAGATCTGTCCCCCCTGATGACGGCTGCCCCCGTCTCCAGGGTATACGGGGTGCCCCTGAGGACCCACCTGCAAGAGCTAGGTCGTGACATCGCCCTGCCCATCGAGGCCTGTGTCCTGATGCTGCTATCAGAGGGTATGCAGGAGGAGGTGAGAGCCGAGGCGGGCGGGGTGGGGTGACAGGGTCCCGAGCTGGTATCCATTGCCAAACTGACTCTGACTCCCCGAATGAATGGCATTTCAGGGGCCTGGCAGTGTACCCCAGACAACTAACTGAGCCCAGCGGCCCTTGCTCCATTTACTGGTCCCGCTGGCCCCGGGTGTGAATGGGGGGTTCTCGCTGGCCCCGGGTGTGAATGGGGGTTCTCGCTGGCCCTGGGTGTGAATGGGGGGTTCTCGCTGACTCTGTTTGGCAATGGGGAGACAGAGGCAGAGTAAATGTGCTCAGAGTCACATGAGGAACTGGGGGTCCTCAGTGCAGTCCTTGTCACATGCTGGCCCTTTCCTGAAGATTACCCAACCACGAGTGGACTGCAGGCTCCCCACCCATCTTGCTGAGGTCCCTTTCCCTCCCACCCCTAGTGAGACGTGTGTCCTACAGTTCTCTCAGGCCCTCAGGTACTCCCTGCTGTTTCCCGCCCTCCCCGTGCTCAGAATTCCAGACCTTGGTAGTCGGAGGGGTCTGTAGACACCATGGTGCCTGCTGCGACCACCGGCGCAGTGGGGACACTGAGGGCCAGCAGCCCTCTCCTGCCCCGCCCTCTGTGACACACAGCCTGTCCCTTCTTGCACCCCAGGGCCTCTTCCGTCTGGCTGCTGGGGCCTCTGTGCTGAAGCGCCTCAAGCAGACAATGGCCTCAGACCCCCACAGCCTAGAGGAGTTCTGCTCGGACCCCCATGCCGTGGCAGGTACCTCATCCACCGGGAGCCCCAGGCAGGGGGTGGGAGAGGGCAGAGCTGCCTGAGGTAACCCTGTCAGAGTTTGACTCTAGGCCTGATAAGCTACCAAAGAGACACCTTGGGATGCTTAGGCGCTCCTAATGCAGATCTGTGATGAACCCTCTGAAATGTGTCTGCTGTGTTTTTCTCTTTTTTTTTCCCATTTTTTTAAGGACAATCTTGCTAAGTACTATGTTAAAAGGGTCTATGACCCAAAGAAAGTATCAGACGCCTGGCGGTGGTGGCGCACGCCTTTAGTCCCAGCACTTGGGAGGCAGAGGCAGGCGGATCTCTGTGAGTTCGAGGCCAGCCTGGTCTACAGAGCGAGTTCCAGGACAGCCTCCAAAGCCACAGAGAAACCCTGTTTCGAAAAACCAAAAAGAAGAAGTGGGAGTTGTGGGGCTGCCTTAGACGGGAGTTGGGGGGCTGCCTTAGACCTTCCCCTGGCCTTGTTTCAGGAGCCCTTAAGTCCTATCTCCGGGAGCTGCCAGAGCCCCTGATGACCTCTGACCTCTATGATGACTGGATGAGAGCAGCCAGGTAAGGAGATGGGCATGAGGGGAGGGGGGAGATAAAAGCTCTAGAAATGTGGCCCTGGGCTGGCTCATTGGTGACTGTCCCTTTGCAGCCTGAAGGAGCCTGGGGCTCGCCTGGAGGCCCTCCGTGATGTTTGCAGCCGCCTGCCCCAAGAGAACTTGAACAACCTCAGGTGAGCACAGAGCCTCCCTTGTGATGTCCTGGTCCTGTGTTTTATATTAGACTGTATCGTGCACCATGCAAACCCCGCCAGGTGCCGTGGCTCATGCCTGTAATGCCAGCACGACAGAGGCTGAGATAGGAGGCTGGGTTTGGGGCCAGCCTGGGCTGCAGAGTGAGACCCTATCTTAAGCTGGGGATTTGGCTGCCAGTGGAGTACTTACCTAGTACACCTAGCATGCTATAAACTGGGGGAGGGGCGATGACGGGGGGGGGATGATGCGTGCCTGAGTTACAGAATTCATAAGGATCAGAACTTCAGGGTCATCCTTGGCTGTAGAGAGTTCGAGGCCAAGCTAGGCTATGAGACCATGTCTCAAAAAGCAAGTAAACAAAACCTCTTGAAGCAGCAAAGCCACGTTCGTTGCCTGGCTTCAGACGCCACGCTGCCACTCTCTGACCCCGGGCAGTGTCAGCACTGGAGACGGGCCCCACTGCCGGTGTCAGCCAGAAGATCCTCAACTTAGTTCTCCTCTCACAAACACGTTGGCTCTCAAAAACTAGATCAGGGAACTTAGCTGGTGAAAACTTAGCTGTGCCGTGTGGTATCTGTTCCCCTCTGTAAACCTAGGGTAGGAAGTTCTCAGGCCTTCAAGGGCATTGGCGAGCATTTACGGGCCTCTCCCACCCATCCAGGTACCTGATGAAGTTCCTGGCACTGCTGGCAGAGGAGCACCAAGTGAACAAGATGACACCCAGCAACATCGCCATTGTCTTGGGACCCAACCTGCTCTGGCCTCCTGAGAAAGAAGGGTGAGCGCCGTGAACACAGGGAGCCCGTCCCCAGCTGGTCGCTGGCCTCTAATTCCCCAGCCTCCGTCCCTGTTTCTGCAGTGGGTTGAGCAGAGGCTGAGGCTGATGTGAGGGGCGGCCTGAGGGACCGGGGTAGTGGCCGTGATGGGCACCTATGTGCTGGCCTGGTGCAGGTGCTGGAAACCCCGAGGGATGGTTTAAGTCTTACTCCCAGCCTTCCAGACATGAGCCTTGGAGAGACTGTATACATTCTAAGGGGAGTTGCTGAGGGAATTGGATGCAAACTGTAAGATAAATTGATACATGAGCCTTATCATGAATGTCCAGGCCACAGACAGATGGCAGGGTGTCGCCCTGTGTGCTGAATTGTAGTTGCTTGGTTGGGGCAATCAATCCAGGAACTGTGGAGAAAGAGCCCAGGATTGATTAGTGATGTCTGTCATAGGTGAAGGAGTGGGGGGTGGGGGATGTTAGTCAGCCAATGTTAGGGTCGCTAAAACTCTTGTTTCTCTTTTGTGCTAGGGACCAGGCCCAACTGGATGCAGCCTCTGTGTCCTCAATTCAGGTGGTGGGCGTGGTTGAAGCTCTGGTACAGAACGCAGACACACTCTTCCCTGGAGGTGATGTCCTTTCTTCCTGCCGCCTCTAGTCCTCTCCCACTGCGTTCCTGGGCTGCAGCCCAGCCTCAGCCCCTGGTCGCCTCACGAACTCTCCCTGTGGCTTAGAAGAAGCTGCTCTTTCATGCTGGGCTTGGGTTTCTCGTCTGTGCGGTGGGAGCAGTCCTGCCTGACCCATGGGAGGGGGAAGGCCGGGAGCAGTCCCATCGTCTCAGGGAGAGAGAGGGAGTAGGCCTGACTCCCCCGACGGGCAAAGGGCCTGAACTTGACACCTGTCCTTCTGCCTCTAGATATCAATTTCAGTGTATCAGGCGTCTTCTCAGCCCTGGCCCCCCAGGATAAGGCCAGTAGCCAACGGACCTCCGAGGACTTGCCACCTGCTGCTGCGCCTACGCCAGCTGCCACCCCAGCTCCAGCCTCCACAGCCGTGAAGGAAAGGTGAGGGCTGGGTAGCGTGAGTAGCCTGTTCCTGGCGGGCTAAGTAAGTAGCGTGAGTAGCCTGTTCCTGGCCAGCTGAGTAAGTAGCGTGAGTAGCCTGTTCCTGGCGGGCTGAGTAGTGTGAGTAGCCTGTTCCTGGCCACACACACATCGGCCTGTGGCTCTTTCTCCGAGGACTTAGGAATGTAGTGGTGGTATTTGTCCTGCAGATCTGGTCCCACTGGTTGGAGTGGGTGGGAGGAGCCTGCTCTTGGCCTTCAACATGTTCCCGTCTTCATTACATGGCTATTTCTACAGCACCTACTATGTGCCAGGCATTGTTCGTGCTCTGAGAACTTAGGGAACTGGGAGGGGACGGTTGGGATTTGTACCTGTCCTGTAACCAATCCTGTGAGTCTAGCAGGGATTCGTGGCACAGACAGGTGTCCTGAGTGGCCCACATGATGGCCATGGACTCCCTCAGCTGGGGCAGTCATGTGCCACCCTCAGCCCTTGCCAGGGGTGGGGAAGGGAGAGTGGACGTGTCCGTCTACGGCCCTGTGACAACAGGCGACGCTGTGCTCCGGGTGAGGCATGCGCGGGCGGTGTGGAGGGCTGCAGCGGTTGGGCAGGAAAAGGACGACCCCTGAGAGCCCAGGCTTGCGTGGACTTTTTACTGGGCTCACCCACTCTTGACTTCCGGTGATTCCGGTGGCGGAGCACCCCCTGAAGATCACATGGAGGTCTGGGGGTGCGCCTTAGTTAGGAGAGTGCTTGCCTAGTTCAAGTCCCAGCATTGCACAGAACCATGGTGGTGCTCACCTGTACTCTCAGCACTGGGCGGGTGGAGGCAGAAGGGTCAGGAGTTCAGGACCATCTTCCCCTACATAGAAAGTTCAAGGCCAGCCTGGGCTGCACCAGGCAGTCTCGAGAGAAAAGGGATCACCTGGAAATCCAAGGCAGAGAAGTCACCTGCCTCCCGCTTTGGCCCTGTGGATTGTCCCCTAGATGGTATCGCGCTGCACAGGTTTTCTACTAGGTTGGCCTCTGCTGCTGGGATAAACTCCGTGACCAAAACAACTCGGGAGGGAAGGAGCTTATTTGGCTTGCGCTTCCAGGCAGTAGTCTGTCACGGGTCTCAAGCAGGAGCAGAGGCAGGGGAGTGCTACCCACTGCCTTGCTTGCCGTGACTGGTGCTCAGCCAGCCTCTTGCTCTTTTTTCATTTATTTATGTATTTTTGATGTATATGGTGTTCTGCCTGCATGTTTGCCTGCACACCAGAAGAGGGCGCCAGATCTCATTATAGATGGCTGTCAGCCACCATGTGGTTGCTGGGAATTGAACTCAGGACCTCTGGAAGAGCAGACAGTGCTCTTAACCTCTGAGCCATCTCTCCAGCCCAGCCAGCCTTTTTTTTTTTTTTTTTTTTTTGCTTTTTAGAGTCAGGGTTTCTCTGTATTGTTTTGGAGGCTGTTCTGGAACTCGCTCTGTAGACCAGGCTGGCCTCGAACTCACAGAGATCCGCCTGCCTCTGCCTCCCGAGTGCTGGGATTAAAGATGTGTGCCACCGATGCCCAGCCCCAGCCAGCTTTCTTATACGACTCAGGACCATTGTCCAGGGACTGCACGGCCCCCCGTGAGCAGAGCCTTCCTACATTTATCAGCGGTCAAGGCTGCTCCCCACAGCCCAGTCTGATTTGGGCAGTCAGTCCCTCAGTTGAGACTCGTCTTTTCATGTGACTCTTGGTTGTGTCAGGTTGACAAAGTTGACGCAGACTCACCCATACGAGAGGTATCTACCAAGGGTGAGGAGAGTCATAGCCAGTGGGGAGAAGAAGTCCTTCCACCCAGCAGCCGGGAGTCATGCTGGATGCTAGGGGATGGCCAAGCTTAACCGCTGCCCCTCCTCTTCCCTTGACAGGACAGAGTCTGAAGTGCCCAAACCAGCTTCCCCCAAGGTCAGCAGGAGCCCCATGGAAACGGCCACTTCAGCAGAGGACATGACTCGGAGGAGTAAGTTGGTGTGGGAGACAGGAGCGGGAGAGCCGGGACCCCCAGTCCCCCCACATCTTTAGAGCGCCAGAAAGGCCGGCAACAGTGGGGAAAGGAGTGAGATGCTCAGGGTTTGCTGCCTGGCACGCTACACTGGCTCCCAGCTCTTACCTCATGGGCGGGGTGCCTGCCTCAGCACCCTCCCGTGCCGTGCAAGCTGAGTCTTGTGAGCTGGGACCTCAGGGAGTGTGCCGGACTCCGTCACAGAAAGTGCTAGAGAGAGGTAGGCAGTGTGGGTGTGGTGGGTGGGAAGCCCGGGACTACAAAGCCCAGGGCCAAAGCCGTGTTTAAGGGCAGAGGGAAGAGAGGTTCGGGGGTCCTGGAGGCTCCTGAGCTCTTTTGGCATACTCATATGTCAGCCTGGCCCAGAATGGACAGGTCAGAGGCCAGGGATCCCTGTGGGGACTGGATCACTAGGCAGCCCCCGACGCCGAGGCCCGAGGACAAGGGGGCTTAGAGCTGGGCGAATCGTGTAGATCGAGGGGAGCAGCGGCGGGAATCTGCAGGTCACACAGGGACCGGAAGACAGGAATCCCTAGAGTCACCGGAGGTGGCTCTGACAGCTGTGAGAGGGTGGGGCTCCCACCCCATCCCACCAGTGAGGAAATGCATGCAGATGAGCCACTCCGGAGAGCCCAGCCCGGAGGGCCAGGGAGAGTTTTGGCCTCAGCTCCACTTAGCCTTCCCCCACCCCCACCCCCACCCCCACCCCCGCTGCCTCACAAGGTCCAAGCTTGCCCAAGGACCTGGGACTTGTGAGAGGCTAGCAGGACCCATGTGTCAGTAGGGACATGTGGCACCAGAACCAGGGTAACTCCAAGGTATCAGGAAAAGAGAGACCAGACGTCCATTTGTTTGTACTAAGAGAATGCATGTGCTGCCTTTATTGCCAGGAGAATGTGTGTGTGTGTGTGTCTTCATTGCAAGTGCTAACAGGTCTCTCCCTTGTAGGAGGGAGGAGCTTTTTATACAAGTTTACAGCACAGGGGAAAAAACCCCAGGTAGAAGAGAGTGTGTTTTCCTCCTGCTGGATGTTGATGTCAGAGGGTCAAGGCCAGGGCAGTAAGCCAGGACTAGAAAACAGAAAGCACTTGGACTGGAAAACAAGTTGCACTTGTAGGCTGACCAGCAACTCACAGAGACCCCATGGGGCTGGGGCCCAACAGGGACAGTTGACATTTATATAGTCAACAGATACACACCCATGCTCGCTTGACGCCTAGACTGATAACCAGTGGCCATGTTGGGTGTGTGTTCTAGGGAGAGTAACGAGTAAGGACCAAGTAAGATAAAAATGGACAAGAGAGTTTCAGATGACAGATCCTCTGAGGCCAGTAAAACTGGGAAGGGCGACAGTGTTGCTGTGTTGGGGTCTGGGGGTCTGCTGTAAGCTGAGATACTGAACACCACGTGGGAGTAGAGAGACCCCACCCCACAGGAGGAATGCACACAGACTCATGAACCCTAACTTCCCTGTTTGCCTTCCTCCACAGCCAAGCGCCCGGCGCCGGCGCGGCCTACCATGCCGCCTCCCCAGCCCTCCAGCACACGCTCGTCCCCCCCAGCTCCCCCCCTGCCCCCTGGCCCCGGCATCCCTGGCGCTCCCCAAGCTCTGCCACGCCGTCTGGTGGGCACCAGCCTCCGGGCCCCCACAGTGCCTCCCCCACTACCCCCTGTACCTCCACAGCCTGCCCGGCGCCAGAGCCGGCGCCTACCAGCCTCCCCCAGCCCGGCTTCCCCTGGCCTAGTGGTTTCAAACTCGCCTGCGCAGGCGGACCAGGCAGCCGCTACAGAGGACAGAGGAGGCCCCGAGGCTTTAGGGGGACACCCCACGCCCCCAGTTCTGCCACCCCAGCCCCGGCCCAGGGGCCTCACCTCAGAGACAGACTGAGCAGGCCCTCCTGCCTCACAAGCCCTCAGTGTCCCCTCCCCCCCCCCCCTTGTCCTCCCAGGACAACCCTTGCCCTGTGCCTAGGTGCCTGCTGGGTCGGCCCCCATGGCTGGGAGGGCTCAGGCCAGCCCTCTCCTTTCTGACCTTTCCCTCTTCGAGTTTGAGCTTTGAGGCTCCCACCTGACCACCACCCCCCCCCCCGCCCCCACTCTCTGGCAGGGTCTCAAGGGAGCTACCAGAAGGAAGGATGGACTTGCCCTTTCCTACAACAGGACTTTTATTTTTTTCTCTTGCCAATGTATTTTTGTAAGGCTCGTAAATAAATTATTTTTAACAAAACTGGAACTGGCCCGGCGACAACTTTTTCTCCTGGAGTAGGGAATCTGCTTCCGTGAGGAGGGATGGGGACACAGTTTCTCCCCTGGAAATACGGAATCTGCCTCCATGAGGAGGGACGGGGACACAGTTTCTGCCTCCTTCCTTTCTCCTGGTCTGAAGGAAGAGCCATGTGCTTGGCACTGCTTGTCTAGCGTGATTCCGTAGCGTGGTTTCTCAGCATCACCTGCTGCTGTTACTGTGGCACGTGAGAAGGGACTGCCCAGGTCACAGCCAAGCCTGGGCCGAGATGAAGTTTGTGAGACTAACTCTGAAGCCTGGGCTCCCTCCTCCCACACGGGAGTTGCTCAGCTTCTTAGGATCATGGGTTCCTCCTTTGAGACAGTCTGGAAACTCCACCCTATCTGTCCTGAAGACCAGAGCTCATGCGCGCCCGCACAGACAACTTTCCGAGGAGCAGGGATCCGTCTCCCATGGTCTTCCTCAGATGTGCGGTGCCATTCAGATCGACACCTGAGGAACTTTTGGGAATGGGCAGGCAGAAATGACTGGAAGAGAGGGCAGATGAAATCTTCCTGACACTAGCCGGGTGAAAATGCTGAAGGAAAAAGCAGGGACCTGGCAGGGCGTTGGTGGCACACGCCTTTGATCTCAGCACTCGGGAGGCAGAGGCAGGTGGATCTCTGTGAGTTCAAGACCAGCCTGGTCTACAAGAGCTAGTTCCAGGACAGCCTCCAAAGCCACAGAGAAACCCTGTCTCGAACCCTGTCCCCAAAAAAGTAGGGACCTTCCCGATCATGGAAAAGGCATCGGAACAGAGAACAGTTGCTCCCAAAGGCAGGGTTTTCCTGGTCTCAACTGCAGTCACTCTGGAGGCTGGACAACCACAGAATTGTGACGGTACAGGTCCTGATTCATCCCTGCTCCCACACTTTGAACTACTGGTTCTCCAGATTAAAAGGCTCCGTCCACAAACTAAAGATCTAGGCGGCTATGTCGCCCTATCAACAATGCAGGCAACTAGCTGGCCCTGGGAAGCAAAATAATGCCCAGGTCCCACATAAACACAAACATAAAATCAGGTCTCTGGGCTCCTTCCTTATGTCTGGGCACTAGAATGTTTCGGCATTTGTCTTGAGCGTGTCTACACCGTGGAGGTCAGAAAACAACTTGCAGGAGTATGTTCTCTTTACTGTGAGGAGCCGTCATTGGTTGAACCGTCTCGCTCACCCTATAATCGTGTTTTTAAAAGCATTTACCTAGAGTCATAGAACTGTACATTAAAGATTACACATTTTACTAAATGCAAATTATACCAAAAAAAACCCTGCAAGTTCCCCCAGGGGACTCCACAGGGCCCCAAGTAGCATTGATTTGACCCAAAATCCCAAAGCCTAAGAAATCCCGCGTAATGTGGCCTCGCGCCACTCGTTTCTCAGGACTCGGCTTGGAACCAGAGCCTCAATGGTTCCGAGGGCACCGAGATCTGGCCCGAAGACAGCATCTCTCATCTCTCTGAGCCTGTTTTTCTCCTAGCAACCAATTGGCCTAAGCTTCTAATTGGCTGGGAAGCTCGAGGCGATTCGCTCCCGACTAAGGCTGGCTCTCCATGTCCCGCCCCTTTCTCCGAGTTCCTTCGGGATCCGCTCGGGCCCTCGGCTATCCTCTTGCCGCTATTGGCTGAGGTGGGCGGTCGTAGCCCCGCCCTCGGCCCTTCCCGGGTCCCAATTGGCAGAGCCGGCCCGTGGCCGTGGAGGGAGCGCGGCGCGCGCGTGCGAGCGGCCAGCCGGCTGCATGGCGCGCTGCGAGCGGCTGCGTGGCGCGGCCCTGCGCGACGTGCTGGGCCAGGCGCAGGGCGTCCTGTTCGACTGCGACGGGGTGCTGTGGAACGGCGAGCGTACCGTACCGGGCGCCCCCGAGTTGCTGCAGCGGCTGGCGCGGGCGGGCAAGGCCACACTGTTCGTGAGCAACAACAGCCGGCGCGCGCGGCCGGAGCTGGCGCTGCGCTTCGCCCGCCTGGGCTTCGCGGGGCTGCGCGCCGAGCAGCTCTTCAGCTCAGCGCTGTGTGCCGCGCGCCTGCTGTGCCAGCGTCTGCCCGGGCAGCCCGACGCACCGGGCACTGTGTTCGTGCTGGGTGGTGAGGGGCTGCGCGCTGAGCTGCGTGCCGCGGGACTGCGCCTGGCGGGGGACCCTGGCGGCGGCGACACGCGCGTGCGCGCTGTGCTCGTGGGCTACGACGAGCACTTCTCCTTCGCCAGGCTGAGCGAGGCGTGCGCGCACCTGCGGGACCCCGACTGCTTGCTCGTAGCCACCGATCGCGACCCTTGGCACCCACTCAGCGACGGAAGCCGGACACCCGGTGAGCGTGGGACGAGGCGCGGGGACGTGTACGGGGCCCCGACGCGCGTCTCGTATTGCCTGCAAGTGCGGCCCGTGAGGGGTAGGGGCCGAGGACCCGTTTGACAGACGAGCCAGCCGAGGTTCATTGTGGCTTAGGGACTTGCCGGTGGGATCCAGGCCTGGGACTGGCTCCCTGGGCGTTTGTCGCTGGCCCCACCTACTTTGCAGGTGGGTTTGTAGAAGCGGACGGATGATCCCAGTGGAGAGCCGAATCCGCACGTGCAGAAGCGTAGGATGGAGGCTGATGTGGAGACTGGAGGGTCGTGGAGCTTGACCTCCGCTCCAGGTCTGGCTGCAGTCGGTTCACCCCGTGGAGTTACATAACCTTGGAGCATCCCTGCTTGAGTGCCAGTGTGGCCCCTTGCCATGCTGGTCATCCCAGAGCCCCTGACTAGAGGTGGATGTTGCCAGCCCTCCTCCAGCCCTTGGTAGCCTTCAGAAACCGCTTGATGCTGTTTTTTTTTTTTTTTACTTCCGTTCCAGATTACTCCAAAAATAAGAGCGTTGGCTCATCTCTCAGTTGTAGAAATCGAGGCTCAGAGAGGGAAAGAGAGCTGCCAGAGAATGAATACACATTGAGCATAGAGTAGGTGAACCTTGAGCTTGGCCCTGGGAACACCCCTCCCCCATCACCCATCAAAGGGCACGCCGCCTGGCCGTTGTTACTGGGGGTACTCAGCCCTGCATCTAGACAGGAGCAGTGGGGGTTCGAGTCAGTCGAGAGGTGGAGGGAGCATCAGCTGTCGGGTAGTGACGACGAATGGGTAGGGACAGACTCGGTACCCCAGGGTGTGGCGTGGACACATGTCTGCCACTCCACTCTGCTGGCCTTTCACCCAAATCGTCATTGACACCAGATCCTGGGAGGGAGTGGGGTTCTGCGGCGTGGCATTGCAGGAAGCGAGGTAGCCACAGCGTTGTTGAAGGTGTGTGTGGAGAAGATCTGGGAGCCTTCCTGGAGGAGGCATGCTGCAGGGCAGGGTGGCGGGGAACAAGGAAATGCTGGCATTCTGTTAGGGTGGTGTAGCTGAAGAGGAAGCTGTTGCCCGGGCCGTTCCTGGCTTGTGGTTCTGCCTGAGACCTACTTTCTGCCCAGTAGATGCTTCCCTTCCCCCACCACGCTGATAGCAAGCCAGGGTTCCCTCAGAGCGTAGGATGAGGCTGTGGGTCAAGGGCTTCTCCAGGGCCCCAGAAAGTGGTGTGAGGAACTTGGGACCTGACCTGTCCATACCCAGGCCTGTGCAGGAACCTTCCTGACTTCTGTCTCCATATCCACCTAGCTATATGCACCCAACCTGCTGGTCACCCCTACTGCCTGGAGGGGGAGACAGAGCGTTAACAAACGGACTTGCAGCCACATTTGTGAGTGATGGCAGCTTCCAAATCATGTTAACAAACCCCCTGGTGGACCCAGTAGTGCACGCCTGTAATCCCAGCACTCGGAGACAGAGGCAGTACAGATCTCTGTGAGTTCGAGGCCAGCCTGATCTACAGAGCAAGTTCCAGGACAGCCAGTGGTACACAGAGAAACCCTGTCTCCAAAAAAAAAAAAAAACATAAATACAACAATAACAACAAAACTCCTACTGGTTGTATGTCAGTAACCTAGGAGCAGAAGGAGCTAGACAAACAAAAATTAATGAAGGTCCCCATTATGCATCAGATTAGAAACAATGTGAAACCACACCCCAATTCCCCCGCCCCATCACAGGCCTATGAAATTGCATGCATGTTTGCTTGAGCTGGCAAGTAGAAATGGCCACAAGTACAGGAATATGCCATTGCACATATATGCCTTGAGTTAAGTGTCACAGTCGTGGGCTCCCCTCCTGGGATGCTCGCCCAGCCATCATGTTGACTGCCGGGAGCCTCGGTAAAGCTTAGCTGTATGACTGATGTGATGTGGGGGCCGCAGGGACCAGCTCTGTCCTGGCAGCTAGGAAAAGAACAGACACACAAAGCTGCGGACAATCCTTTTGTGTTGAGATAGGGTCTCAGCCTTGGTCTGCCTGCCAATGCTGGGATTAAAGGTATGAACCACCACCCCTAGCAAGACTGGATCTAGGATGGTCGACTCCAACAAGTTACCCTAAAATGCAAGAATGGACCAAGGTGGCCATGGAGATATATACTTATATTCCCAGCACTTAGGAGGTTAAGGCAGGAGATCAGGAGTTCAAAGCCAGTGTGGGGACCGTTAAGATCTAATCTTGCCAGATGGGGTGATAGTGGCGCACGCCTTTAATCCCAGCACTCGGGAGGCAGAGGCAGACAGATCTCTGTGAGCTCGAGGCCAGCCTGGTCTACAGAGTGAGTTCTAGGATAACCTCCAAAAGCCACAGAGAAACCCTATCTTGGAAAACCGAAAAAAGAAAGACAAAACAAAAAAGGTTTACTTGGGTGTATAGTTCCCGAGAGATAAAAGTCAGTGGTAGCAGAACAGAGGTGACAGCTTGGTGGCTAGGACAGCAAGGTGAAAAGCTCCAACTGCAAGCAGGAAGCTGAGAGTGAGCGTTGGAGATGGTGGGAGACTAAAGCCTGCCCCCAGCGATGCACTTCCTGCTGCAGAGCCAGCCATGCCTCTGCTTGTCCAGACACCACCATCTGAGGAGCATGCTGCAGTGCCAGACTCTGAGGGGCAATCTTACTGCAGCCCACGCTGAGGAAGCTCAGCTCTGGTGGGCTCCTTTCTTTCTGTCCCTCTCATTTGCAGGGTGGTGGTAGGGGTTTGAGACAGGGTTTCTCTGTGTAGACCTAGGTGCCCTGGAACTCACTCTGTAGACCAGGCTGGCCTCAAACTCAGAGATCCACCTGCCTCTGCCTCCCGAGTGCTGGGACTAAAGGCGTGTGCCCCCGGCCCCCACTGGCTCTCTGGCCAGGTTTCTTTTTGTTTGTTTGTTTGGTTGGTTGGGGTTTTTGTTTTTGTTTTTGTTTTTTTGTTTTTTGGTTTTTTGAGACAGGGTTTCCCTGTGGCTTTGGAGGCTGTCCTGGAACTCGCTCTGTAGACCAGGCTGGTCTCCAACTCACAGAGATCCGCCTGCCTCTGCCTCCCGAGTGCTGGGATTAAAGGCGTGCGCCACCACCGCCCGGCCCTGGCCAGGTTTCTTACTGTCACGGAGTCTCAGCTTTGTTGTCTGTGAAATGGGCTTTCAGGAGTACTCTGAGTAAATGGTGGTGCTTCTCTTCGTTTGGTTATGGATGTTGGTGTAAAGGCAGGATGTCCTGGCACAAGGACGTGCCTGTGGGAAGGAATAGCGGGCTCATTGTGCCAGCAGGATGGTGCTGGCGGCGGGGCAGGACTGTGCTTTCCAAACAGACTCCCGTTGTCAGGCTCCTGGGCTCCTTCCCCAGCTTTGGTTACTTGTCAGGCTCCCTGGTCGCAGACATCTTCCAGCATGTAGCTTTTTGTCTCCAGATGGAATTTTCTCTAGGGGATCGTTTTACCCTGCAGGGCTGACTGGGTCAGAGGTGTGGACATTTCTGTGCCATGCTGCATTCCAGGCTGACTGTGTGCCAATTTTCCATGCCAGGAGCATGGTTTCTTGGAGCAGTAACCACCATTGCTGCCTTCCATTTACAAAGTGAGGCCCACTGCATCCCTTCAGGGGAAGTGGTACTTAACCCCATCCTACCACAGTTCCGAGGAAGAGGCTGAAGGGCTTCCCAAGAACACAGCTGCCCTGCAGAGCTGGTGGCACAAGCCTGCTCACACACACACACACACAAGCCTGTGCTCACACACAAGCCTGTGCTCACACACAAGCCTGTTCTCACACACAAGCCTGTTCTCACACACACACACACAGCCTGCTCACACACACACACACAAGCCTGCTCACACACACAAGCCTGTTCTCACACACACACACAAGCCTGTTCTCACACACACACAAGCCTGCACACACACACAAGCCTGCTCTCACACATACACACAAGCCTGTTCTCACACACACACAAGCCTGCACACACACACAAGCCTGTTCTCACACACACACACAAGCCTGTTCTCACACACACACAAGCCTGCTCACACACACACAAGCCTGCTCTCACACACACACACAAGCCTGTTCTCACACACACACACACAAGCCTGCTCTCACACACACACAAGCCTGCTCTCACACACACACAAGCCTGTTCTCACACACACAAGCCTGCTCACACACACAAGCCTGTTCTCACACACACACACACACACACAAGCCTGCTCACACATACACACAAGCTTGCTCACACACACAAGCCTGTTCTCACACACACAAGCCTGCACACACACACAAACAAGCCTGCTCACACACACACACACACAAGCCTGCTCACACACACAAGCCTGCTCACACACACACACAAGCCTGCTCACACACACACAAGCCTGCTCACACACAGGCTTAGAGTACACACAGAAAGGGACTGCCATTGCCACCTTCGTGTTAGGTGGAGAAGCTAAGCACACAGTGTGTCCGTGGCAGTGGTGGTGGATTCTGAATTCAGGTGTCTGGCACAGACAGTGCACAGCCTTTAGGTCAGGCCCAGCTGCTGCCCTCCTGCTGACCAAGTGTGCCCTCTCCACAGGTACTGGAAGCTTGGCTGCCGCAGTGGAGACAGCCTCAGGACGCCAGGCCCTGGTGGTGGGCAAACCCAGCCCCTACATGTTCCAGTGCATCACGGAAGACTTCAGCGTGGACCCTGCCCGCACACTGATGGTGGGTGACCGTCTGGAGACCGACATCCTCTTTGGCCACCGCTGTGGCATGACCACCGTGCTCACGCTCACAGGGGTCTCCCGCCTCGAGGAAGCCCAGGCTTACCTGGCAGCTGGTCAGCAGGACCTTGTACCTCACTACTATGTGGAGAGCATTGCAGACTTGATGGGGGGGCTGGAGGACTGAGCCTACCTCCCCCACTCCCTGATCCCCATCCCATAGATGGAGCCTCCGGGCCATGAGTCACATTCAGCGCCATGAGCTCCCTGGCACAGGTGTCTGTACCCCAGTAAAGGAAAGCTGGGATCCAGGAAGGTTTGTGGGCTCTCATACCCCTCCCAGCAATGGCTAGACACTGCTGTTCAGAAGCTGCCCCTACATCTTGAAGGTTTACCCTGGCCTGACCCCACCAGGTGGCCTTATTTCTTGCCCTGTCACCTCCCCTTCTTGAACTATATATGGGCCCTGAAGCCAAATGAAAATTTTCTTCAACCCTAAATACTTAAGCTCCTCCCCTCCTCTGGGACCTCTAGTGCTCTGTCCTTAGGGCCTCGTTGACCAATTAGAGGACTCCAGCCCCATTCTTGGCCTGAAGAGGCCTATGGAATGGAAAGCTACCAGTACTGACCGGTATGTTTATGTCTCACAGTGGGCCCTTAGTGGACCAAGTAGGAGCATATCCTGGAGCCCCAAAGCATCAATCACAAGGCTAAGTGACATTGATCTCTGGATGTCCATCAGGACCATAATAACCCACTGACCTCTTAGATCCCAGATACAACGATTTACAAGTCCAAGAACAGTGGCTTTTTGACAATCCTGGCCTGGCTAGATCAGCCAAGGGATCAGGTCCTAGCAGGGTAGGGTGATGAATGCCTGTTACTTACAGCACTTTGGAGGCTGAGGCAGGAGGATTGCTCTGAGTCTGACGACCTGGGTTGCAGAGTGAGACCTCATCTCACAATGACCAACTTCAAAGTCAGGTTTCTCCAGGGACTGATTGGTGGAATGGCAAGGCTCCCACCATAATGGCGTCCAGTGTTGATGGTTGCCACAGCTTGAGAGGGGGCCCCACGCCCCACCCATTGCATTCAGTGTTCGCTGTGCCCCCTCTCGAGCTGCCCGTGCCCAGCTATTTATTTATTTATCTGTTTGTTTGTTGTGTGCCAGTGATGGTGGGGGCAGGGCAGGCTCTTCCCGCCTCCTCCACCCTTGTTGTAACCAGTCCTTGAACTTTAATAAAATGTGAGTAGGAGTGTCTGTGCCCCAGTCTGTGGGGTGGGGAGTCCTGCCTGAGCCTGTTGCCCTCCAGTGCCAACACCCCCACCCTGCAAGAAAGGGTGCCTCCTACATCTGTGTTCCCAGCACAGATGTACTCAGACTCTTGAGCTTTTAGCAGCTGTGAGGCCTGGTGTCAGTTTGTACAAGCACAAGGGCCGAAGTTTGATCCCCAGAACCCACAGGAAAATGCCAGGTGTGGTGGCATGTGCTTGTAATCACAACAGGGGAGGCAGAGACAGGTGGGTCCTTGGGGCTCACTGGCCGACCGGTGTAGACTGCTTGGCCAGCTCCAGGCTAGTGAGAAAGCCTGTCTTGAAAAACAAGGTGGATGTTGCTGGAGGGGTGACCCTTGAAGGTGTCTGTCCCCCACATCCCTGAGCATCCAGGGGGGACATGCAGACACAGAGCCCAGTACTTGCGTTGCCCTTAGGCAGCAGCCGGTGTGTGATGCTGAGGACAGGGATGTGGCTCAGTGGTAGAGCAGATGTCTCCTGTGCCTCAGCACCATAAGGAAGGAAGAAATGTGATGTGGACTCAGAAGACAAGGGCGGGCAGCTGATCTCTGAACCAGAGATAGACATTTGCCCAGAAGGCTGCAGCCCCTCTGGAGAATATAGGCGCAGGATGGCACTGGGTGAGGTCCCACCCTCTGGCCAACTTGACACAAGATTTCAGAGGGGGGTGTGGACTCCATCGGAAACCGGGCCTCCTTAACTTTGAGATAGTGTAGTGTTATGCACTCCTTAAAAAAAACCTGTCAGACTGCCATTTCTTTGAAGGATGACTCATTCCTAACTCCCTCTCCCCACTCTGCAACCTTCTAACCTATCACTGCAGTTTATCAGAGTAGACGCTGTGAACCCACATTTGCTTCTCCATCTCCCATGGAGGATGCATTTCACACAGCTCACATGACACCAGCATTCCTCGGGGCACTGGGAGGCATTTAGAGCTTTCTTTAACCTTCCATGCAAAGTGCAGGGCCTTGTCTCAAAAAAACGAAGAAAACCGCAGCTGGAGAGAGGGCCCACTGAAGAGCATGGATTGCTCTTAGACTCAGATTGGCAGCTCAAAGCCACCGGTACCTCCAGCTACATGGGATCTGACCCTTGTTCTGGCCTCCCACACATTTTTAAAAAAAGTGTCAGTCGTGGGTGGTGCACGCCTTTAAAATCCCAGCACTCGAAGCAGAGGCAGGAGGATGTATGAGCTCAAGGCCAGCCTGGTCTACAAAGCTACACAGAGAAACCCTGTCTTGAAAAATAAAAGACATCTTTGAAGCTAAATGAAGCCCCAACAGGTGAGTGATTTAAAGCACATGAAGGCACAGCATGTGAGGGAAATAACTCCTTTGTACTTTTGTTTGCATACTGTTTAAGGAAGAAACAAGGATAACTGTCTAGCTATCGGGAGTCGCTAGACTGGCTCACCCCTAGGACTACTTGGAAATTCAGAAGAAAAGCCTAATCTACGGTGTCACTTTCAAATGTAAGGGAAGGTTTGAGACTAGTCCAGTTAATATTCCATTGAGTTTGAAGGCAGTAAACACTAATTGCAGTAATTTTGCTTAAAAAAAAAAAGTTGCTAGGCGGTGGTACCACATACATTTAATCCCAGCAGAGGCAGGTGAATCTCTTTGAGTTCGAGGCAAGCCTTTCTACAGATGGGGTTCCAGGACAGCCAAAGCTGTTATACAGAAAAGCCCTGTCTCGAAAAACAAAAAGCCTTTGAGACTTATATATATATGTTCATGATGTGTATGCTGGTGCCCATGGAGGTGAGAAAAGGTTATCAGACTCCCTAGAACTGGAGTTACAGGAAGTTGTGAGCCACCATGTGGGTGCTGGGAGGAAGACCTTGGAGGATGTCTGTCCCTGCCTACGCTGAGGTTCAAGGAAACCATCCCTGAATGTGGGCACCATCATCCCCCAGGCTAAAGAAGAAAGGGAGCTGAGCCCAGCACTCAGCCCTCTCTGCCGACAGCAGACACAATGTGGCCGGTCGCCTCAGACTTCTGCCGCCATGTCTTCTTTCTCTCCATGAGCCAAAGCACACCCTTGCTGGCTCCCTTTGGTCCTCACTGCTCCCGTGAACTCTCAGCAAGCAGTTAGAGTCCGCACAGAAAGCCGCTGTTGGAGGTGGGGCTGCTGTCGTGAGGCGCCCGCCCCGCCCCTGTGGTTCCTACATCTTCTGACCTGGGTTGTGGGAGGGGTGCGGAAAGAGCCCAGAGCTGCTGACTAGGAGCGTCCAAGTGCTACGAGCAGACTTAATGGGCCATTCGGGTCCAGAAGACCGAGACGCAAAGAGAGAAGTGAACAGTCAATACCACAGACACAAGGTTTCAGAGGGGGATGTGGACTCCATCGGAAACCCGGCTAAAGGCCATTGTGTTCTCTGTTCTAGCCAAGAACCTAGCCATATGTCCAGAAAAGTTGTATGAGGTTGTATTCAAAAGCAAAGGACTAGTTTGTTTGTTTAGATTTTTTGTTTGTTTGTTTGTTTGTTTTTGAGACATGGTTTCTCTGTGTAGCTCTGGCTGTCCGGTAACTCACTCTGTAGACCAGGCTGGCCCCTGCCTTCCAACCGCTGGGATTAAAGGCGTGTGCCACCATTGCCTGGCTAGAATTCCCAAGATAGCACTGTGGCATGGTTGTGGCTCACTGTTCTTAGATCTAAAGTGAGAGCAGAGAGTTGGAGAGAAGCTGGAGAGAAAACAGCTATAATGGTTAAAGAAATTAGTGCCATGACAGAGAAATTGGGTGCTGTAACTGCAAACTCTGAAGGACACTCAAGGGGGGAAAATGCAGTCTTGAATCAGGTAGTGGTGGCTCACGATTTTAGTCCCAGGGCTCAGGAGGCAGAGGCAGGCAGATCTGAGTTTGAGGCCAGCCTGAGCTACAGCGGGAGTTCCAGGAAACCCAGAGATACACAGAGAAACCCTGTCTCCGAAAAATGCAGTCTGACTGAGACTGCTGGAGGGATCCCCTGCTCAAACATTACCCCTAGGGAAGGGTTTTCTAAGTCCACCCAGCGTGGCGCACAGACCCCACTACACCTGTGGTAAAGGGGCCTAGCCCATACATCAAGCTGTCAGCAGAACTTGGTAGCATATCTGCAAGGTGCTAGGTTTTCAAACATACAGTCTGCAAGTCACCAAGTCATGGAGGTTCCAGAAAACTGCCAGGCCAGGCGATGTGTAACAGTGTTGGAATTCCTGAAAGGAAGCCCTAAGAGGCCGTTATTATTTGAAGTTATGAACGTAAGGCTCCAGTTAGCCAGGGCTGTAGGACATCTGCTGAGAAAAGCTGTGGGCGTGGCCCAAAAGAGGCTCCATGTGGTGCAGGCCACAGGACTGGAATGGGTGGGGCTACGAAAGGATGCTAAGACAAAGAAGCTTCAGGGTTGGTATTTTCTCTGATGGGTTTCAGGCTTGTCTGCATCTGATCCTGTTAAGAGAAGATTTTTCTTTGAGAGGAGCCTTCCCGCCCACCTGGTTCCAGATCCGCATCAGTCCCAAATAAACACACAGGAGGCTATATTCATTATGAAGCTGTCGGCCTTGCTTGTTTCTTACTGGCTAGCTCTGACTTAAGTAATTACCCCATAATTGTTAATCTAAGTATGTCTCTTACCGGAGAGGTTTCCGGGCTTCCTACCCCAATGGCGTTACATCTTGACTCTCTGTGTTTCTCCTTCCCAGAGTTCTCCTGGACTCCTAGTCCCTCCTATCTTGGTTCCCTATAGGCTCAACAGTGCTTTATTGACAAATGCACAGGACTTCCCCCAACATGATCCCATTCTTCCTTTTAGGGACAGGAAAGTTTACCATTGCATCCTGGAAGCAACTTGTTTTCTAAGACTTCCTGGCTAAGATTGTCTTGAGTCTCGGGAGGGATTTTGGACTTTGGGCTTTCAAACAGTGTTAGAACTGTTTGGACTTTTAGAAGTGGACTAAATGTCTTTTGCGATAAGAGATAAATTTGAGACTTTGGGGCCAGAGATGGAGTGTTTGTGTTGAAGTGAACCATTTGAGTATCAGGTTGACAAGAAATGGGTTGTGCCTGAGCCCCGGGGGCTGGGCTTGTGATCTGCAGAGGACAGAACCCAAGTGAATAACTAAGTGGAGGGATGGCTGCCTGGAAGGGTGGGACAGTGGGCAGCCGCAGGAGGTGCTGTGGTGGGGGGTACCAGCACAAGGGTACGAGGAGTTTGAGGCACCCCCCAACACACACCCCTACCCTTCACGAAGCAGCTTTCAGAGCAGAGGTTCCCAGGCCCATGTGTTTCCCTCAGCTCCCTCCCCCTGTGAGGGCACAGCCAAGTGCCCTCCCCTCTAGTTTCCACACCATTAAACTGCAATATAAGATGTGGGGGAGCCGGTCAGGTATGGCAATTCTGGGGTCCCTCCCGGCTCTGTCTTCAAGGACTCAGTGTGGGAGCTAGCTTGCTGGGTGCCGTGGATGGTACCCGTGTGCTCCGTGGCTCGATGCCAGCGCTGGCTGAAGGAGGTACAGACTGCATCAGGGCTGGGGAGGAGCTGGAGGGCCAGGAAGGGCCTTGCTGGCTGGGACCCGTATGGACAGGCTAAACCCAGATCCAAGGGCTAGGTTGCAGGACAGAATTCCAGAAGAATGTGCTGGCTGCTTAGGGGCTTGGCCTGAGGGAGACTCTCCAGACCTGGGCTTGGGAAAGGAGAGGGAGAAAGCAAACGAACTCAATGCTGGCCACCCTCATCTCAGTCAGGAATGACTGACATCACTGCTGTCCTCCAGGATCTGGACACTAGTCAGAATAGCCAAGGCCCTGGGCTGCAGCCCCCAAATCCATGCTCTTCTCTGCTCCCCTTGCCTCTGCTTGGCATCTGGCCACAGCTGCTGTTCCCTGGGCAGACGTTCACCAGGTGGGTGTGGACACTACAGAGAGTGATATACTCAGATGAGCTAGGCTATGAAAGCCAGGCGCCAGGCATTGGGCCTGACAGATAAGTGGTTGCCACCACCAAGAGGCCCTGAGAACTTCAAGGAGGGCACAGAGGGGATTTTATCTCCGTCGCCTTGCCTTTAAAGTCTCAGTGTCGTTACAAGGGACACTAGCGTCTGGCAAATTCACACTACAGCCTAGGTGGGCAAGACTCCGTCAGACGCTAAGGAAGGTAGCCTTGGGAAGAAGAAACAAGGAACTAAAAAACCTAAGCTCAGCTAGGCATAGTGACTCACAGCTCTTTTCCCAGGCAGGACTGCTTCAGATTCCAGACCAGCCTGGGCTACACAGTGAATTCCACTTCCAGGTCAGCCTGGGCTACAGAGTGAGATCGTGTCAAAACCCCCATGAGCTCAAAAAAAATCACCTATGACCTGAGTCCTGCCCTACACTACCCTCAGGCAGGAAAGAGCAGGACTTCACACACAGTGCTGCAAACAGAGCCTGAACAAACAGGGCTAGAAAGCAGAAACTGAGTCTCCAGTCCCCCCAGTCAGAAGAGACCCTCATACCCTGTTCCTCCATGGCCGGCCTGGGCAGACAGCACCCGCAGAGAAGGGCCCTCCCCACTCAGACGTCTCCTTTCAGGTCATGACCTGGCAGGGACAGCTCCTGGAGCCCTGAGCTCCGGGAACCTGGGTTAGCCTGACAACTGCCCGCCAAATCTCTACCTGGAACTCTGCCTGATGTGTCCCATTCCTGATGTGACAGTGATGTGTCCCATTCCTGATGCGGCAGATACCTAGAGAAGAGTGGAGGAGCAGGACGGGCCCTGACAGTCCCTCTCTGTGGCTGAGGTCTGAGGGGGCCCCACAGGAAAGAGGGAAGCTTCTGTGGTTAGTTTCCTTGGTAGCTGCCTGAGGGCGGGGCTGGGGACTGATGAGGCAGCCCAGTCTGGTTGAAATCTGACAGTATCTCCCCTGTGCAGTACAGGCTTCCCTCTCCTCCTGTCCGGGGTGGGCTTTCCTATCTGTTAGAAGGAGCTGGAGATGAGCCAGGGAGAGCAAGGCGGATGGCTGGTCTGGCCCCAGACGTGACTCGTGGTTCCACATCTGCATCTCTCTTCAGAGATGGCAGTTTCAGAAGGGTAATGACAACATGGGCTCCCTGTACTCCCATGCTCTCCCTACCCGACTCCCCAGTGCGAACTGAGAACCCCTCTAACTAACCAGAGACTGTAGGGTAATAGAGGGAGCTCTGGCAGCCAACAGGCGGGGCTTGGCCTCGACGTCATTAAAGAGATACATGGTTGGTAGAATGTTTGCTCAGCACACACAAAGGCCTGGGTTCAATCCCCAACAAGACATAGACCAAGCGTGAAGTCGCCTGCTTGTAATCCCAGCACTTAGGAGGCAGGAGGGGGAGCATCAGAGGCTTAGGACCCTCTTTGGCATAGAAAGTTCCAGGCCGGGTTGTGCTGCATTGAGACTCCCTCAAAAGAGGCTAAGAGGACTGGAGAGATGGCTCAGAGGTTAAGAGCACTGACTGCTCTTCCAGAGGTCCTGAGTTCAATTCCCAGCAACCACATGGTGACTCACAACCATCTATAATGAGATCTGGTGCCCTCTTCTGACTGGCATGCAGGCAGAACACTGTATACATAATAATAAATAAAATCTTTTTTTTTAAAAAAGAGGGTAATGGTAAAAACCACAGATTTATTTATTCAATGTGACCACACTGGGAAGGGGAACAGATAAAGGGACCCTGTAACACCAAGTCTGGTTTTAGGGTGCTGATGTGTGTGTTGTTTTTTTAGGGGGGACAGTTGTTGCTATACTAGCCATTAATTATTTATGTACTTATTTAATGTTTTTGTTGGGGGTTTTTTGTTGTTGTTGTTTTTGGTTTTTTGAGATGACAGGGCTTCTCTGTATAACAGCCCTAGCTGTCCTGGAACTCACTCTGTAGACCAGGCTGGCTTTGAACTCACAGAGAACCCCCTGCCTCTGCCTCCTGAGTGCCAATTTAAAGGTGTGTGCCACCACTGCTCAGCTAGCTGTTAGTGTTTTTTCTTTTGCGCCAGGGTCTCATGTAGCTGATGTAGCCTTGAATTCCTAACCCTCCTGCCTCAGCCTTCCAAGTGCTGGTATCACAGGCGTGAACCACAGTGCACTTTCAGCTTAAATACTGGAAGAATTGGGGCAGATAGCAAGACATATGCATACTTGAGCACACTGGCCCTGCAAAAGGGTTCAAAGAAGTCCCATTGCATGAGGGAACAGGCTCAGGAGAGGGCCAGTCCTGCCCTGTGTGTGCAGACTCATCTCAGGAACAAGTGTCCTCCCGTGGGGGAGGGGCTGTCCTGTAAAGCTTTGTGTTTTCTAGACTCCAAGGAGACTGCAGATTTGGGTCAGTGACTTGTCTCTGTGCCTGTGGCTTAGAAGGAGGAGGTGGTCAGGAAGCTTGAGTCAAGCAGGAGTCTGAGCCAAAGTATGGAGACAGATCCAAGAAAACGCAGAGAGGGCAGACTCACCCTGTCACTAGTCTTCTGGAACCAAAGGAGGGGTCCCGGCTCTGGGCGGGAGCAGCTTCAGAAATGTTTTACCACTTAACCCTCCACTCTGCTGAGCGAGCCTCCCTAAGTCACATCTCACCCCACAACTATCTGTAGCTCCCTAGGACCCCAGGGGAAACAACAATGAAACCCTTTGTCTGGCCCACAAGGCCATGCATGATCCTTGGCTCCTCTCTCCTACACACTCATCAGATGTCCCCCAGAAAGCCTTTGCCGGGCAGTCCTTCAAGACCCTGTTTTACACCCCACAGTCTCCACCCCGCCACAGCGGCGTCTGCGTCTTTGCCTTCACCAGAGCCAGCACAGCGATATTTAATTAGACTTTGAGTCCTCCGAGGCCGGCCCAGGGCTAGACACATAGTAGGTGCTCAGGAAAACACCTGCTAAGTGGATGGCCACGTCTGGTCCCCAAAAGTGAGAATGAGGCCAAGGGTTCGGGGCTGGCACACCCTAGGCTACCCCTCAGGCCCGGGATGTCAGAGCCAGGGCACCCAGAAGTCCCTGCAGGCTCCGCAGTGGGGTGAAGTCCAAGGCTTGAGCCGAGGACACCAGCGTCAGGCCTGGCGCCCAGCCCAGTCTTTCTTTAGCCCTAGTGAGCCGCACCGAGCTGCAGCCACAGAGCGCTGCTTCCGGGGAAAGCCCGGGTGGGGCCTGGGCTTCGCGGTCCTTCTCAGCCCTGCACAGAGGTCCTCAGCCGGAGCCACACCCCAGCCTGCCGGGCTGCAGCCTCTTCTAGCCCTGCTCTAATGTCTGCAGGCTCGACACACGCAGACCCCCACCAGCTGCGCGCTGGCCCCGGGCCCCTTCCCGCCAACTCTTGAGCCTAACTCATCCTCAAACTATTTTCCACTGGCTCCCCCAATCTCTGCCACCGCACAGATCTTTTTTTAGTGGGAAGAATAAGGGGCGTCGCTAGGACCCTGAGGGAGGGATTTAGGAGGGGCACTCTCCTCCCTGATTGGTCACCTCTGCTCTAAAACTGAATTATAATCCACAGACTCCGCCTCTAGTGCCCCCCCCACCCCTGTCCTGACATCAATTGGCCTAGCCTACCGGAGGGGCGGGACTCACCAGGTCTGGTCCTGTTAAAAAGGGTCAGAGAGGGCTTGGGGTCCGGTCACTCGGGTGGAGTCTTCGGACAGCTGGTGCAGCCCATCGCAGGAATCTTCCCTTCGCTTCCATCATGGCCTGTGTGAGTGCGAGACCCTCTACTGCAAGGTCTAGGGGATTGAGCAGCAGCAGATGGGCATAGGAAAGTGGCCAGCTTGGGACCTGGTCCCAGCTGTGCCGCCTTGGACAGGTGTTTTCTCTGATCCTCAGTAGCCACATCTGTAAAATGGGGGTGGGTGTCATAGTCCCCCCCAAAAGCCTTGAGCCTCTCTATGTAAAGAGTATCCTGGATTTCTCTGAGCGCCGACAATATACTTCCATCTTGCAAGGGCCAATATTCTGCCACTTTGCAGTTTTCTGAGGAGAGTGGGAAGGGTGTGGCCACCTGGGGAGGGGAAGGGGACGCAGGGGGACATTTTGGTCAAGGCCACTCACTGCTTCCCTCTCCTCCATTCTAGAGGCTTCTGACCCCTCCCCCCCTGCAGCTGTCCCCAGTCACAGAGCCAGGGCCCAGTAGATCACCCTCTGCTCCAGAAAAATATGAAAACCTCCTGGGCCGGGGATAAGCCGCCGTCCAGGCCAGGCTGGGGCTGGTCGTGGCTGCTGGCCAGCTGGGGGCCGAGAGAACTGCGTACTTTTGCACAAAGAGACACACGGGCTAGCTATTTGTCGGGTTCAAATGTCAAACCCCTCCCACAAATGGGCTCCTGCCCACGCACCCAGGCAGGTGCCCAGCAATGCCCAGCTAAGTGCTGGGCTCCCCTTGCTGAACCCAGGGCGCTGCACTTTCCCGGGAGCCTCCACTCCAGCCTTGAGGGGGCCTGGAGAGGTCCAGGCTGCCTTCTCCCTCCCGGAGGAGCTGACTGAGGACCCCATCTTCCCCTCCACTCTAAGTAAAAGAAAAAAAGAAAAACCTCCAAGCTGACTGGGTGAATCTTCTAGGCTCAGTCCTGTGGGACAGCCATAAGTTTCAAATTAGCATACCGTGATGGGAAAGGGGCCTGTCCCTGACTACGGGGACAATCAAGACTAGAACTCACCCACCTTACCCCTGGGCTTCCCTAGCGCTCGCTCGCTGCTCAGGGTACCCAGGGCGGCACTGACCCCATGCCCACACCCCAGGCCTCTGCTAAGGTAGCTCAGGCCACGATCAAACTCGGCCCTAAATGCAGCTAGGTGGTCTTTTCTACACAGGGTCTGGTCGCAAGCAACCTGAATCTCAAACCTGGGGAGTGTCTCAAAGTTCGGGGTGAGGTGGCCCCCGACGCCAAGAGGTGAGAATGCAGCCAGGGATGGCGGTGGCAGGGGCGGCGTTGGCAGGCCTTGGGTCCCGAGGCTGGGGATGGGCGTGGCCGGCCGGAGCTGCTCCTCCCCAGCCGGCAGAGGGTTAATGGCCGGCCGCAGATGCTGCGTGAGTCACTTCCTCGCTGGGTCTGGTCCACCTCACCGTGGTCTCCCTTTCCCTCCCGCCCCCTCTCTCCGGGATGGAGTTTCTTAAACTAAACCAGCTGCTGCCTCAGCAGCTACCTCGGTTTACCCCCTCCCCTTCCGCCTGGGGTGTGTAGTGTGGGGCGTGGCAATGAGGGAGGGGTCACCCACGTGCCTGCTGCCTGGGGGGGGGGACGGGGGAGCACGGGGTGGGGGCGGGAGGCGGGGACGGGCTCAGTCTTTTCTTTCAATGTTTCCCTCTTATTCCTACATCCCACAGCCTAGTTTCTCAGCAACCATGTGACCTGAGACCAGTCACCCAAGCTCGGGAAGCCTCCGCTTTTTATTTTATTTTATTTTTTTCGTCTGGGGAGACAGGGTCTCACTATGTAGCTAGCCCTGGTTAGCATGGAACATACTATGTCTACTAGGCTAGCCTCCACGGAAACCCACATGCCTTTGCCTCCCCAGTGCTGGGATTGAAAGTGTGTGCACCGCCACACCCGGAAGGGCCCGGGTTTCCTAATAAAGCCAGAGGGAAAGTTGTGGTGTGGAGAATGCCTGAGGCCAGATTTATCAAGGCAGCTGACTGGCAGTGAGTGCCCGAGCCTGTTCCTCTTTCTTCCTACCAGACCACGGTGGCAAATGCTGCTACCAGGCCCCATGCAACAGATCAATCCCTGTATTATTATTTGCACTTTTACTCCACAATGATGGGGCATCCGCAGAGTGTTCCGCTCCGTGTCAGGCACCAGGGACTCAGATACACAAGACAGACAGGACGACATCTGGAGAGTCTCCCCGCTTGACCAAAGGGGCTGACACCAGTTAATGTCTGGAGGAGAGATCCTTTCAGGGCAGCCCCCCATTGTGCAGACAGGAAAGAAACTTGTGGCTCAGAGAGGAATAGCAGGGTCGAGGGCAGAATTCGAACCCAGGTTCCTGGCCTTCCTGTTGACTGAGTTTCGGCAAGGTGCATTACAGGCCAGCTGCTGATGCTGCCTTTCCTCGGTGAGCTTTGGGTCTGGAGCACGGCCTCAAGCCTACCTGTCACTCTGCAGCTTTGTGCTGAACCTGGGGAAGGACAGCAACAACCTGTGCCTACACTTCAACCCCCGCTTCAACGCCCATGGGGACGCCAACACTATCGTGTGCAACAGCAAGGACAACGGGGCCTGGGGGACTGAGCACCGGGAGCCTGCCTTCCCCTTCCAGCCTGGAAGCATTGTGGAGGTGTGCAGGATGGGGCTGGGCAGGGCCCGGGGCGGGCTGGACAACCATGGCTCTCGTGTTCAGAGACAGGCTGGCCCTTCCTGGCCGTGTGGCTACCAGTGACGGTCACCCGCTCTGAACCTACATAGGGACTCACCTCTATGGGCATGGGCGCTGTCATCTGGGCTCCGAGCTGCTCTAGGCTGTCTAGGCTGTCACTCACTGGCCTTCTCCACACCCCCAGGTCTGCATCACTTTTGACCAGGCTGACCTGACCATCAAGCTGCCAGACGGGCATGAGTTCAAGTTCCCTAACCGCCTCAACATGGAGGCCATCAGCTACATGGCGGCAGATGGAGACTTCAAGATCAAGTGTGTGGCCTTTGAGTGAAGTCAGCCAGCCCACGGGCCTCAATAAAGGCAGCTGCCTCTGCTCTGCGCAACCCAGATCTTCATGAGAGAGAGAGAGAGAGAGAGAGAGAGAGAGAGAGAGAGAGAGAGAAAGAGAGAGAGAGAGAAGAGAGAGTGTCTGTCTGTGTGTGTCTGTGTGTGTCTGTGTGTGTGTCTGTGTGAGGGGCCTGCCCGGGCCTGATCGTCTTCACTCCCAGTGTGTCCCTCCTGGTCCAAGTGGCCTCTCCTCTTCCCCCAGATTCTCCAGGCCAAGCAGAGCCCATCACATGGAGGGTTTGGTGACCTGACCGGAGAGTGTGATCCGTCCCATGGTGACAGGAGCAGACAATGGGAGGAGGAGGAGGAGGAGGAGGGATGAGCAACAGGGCCTCGTTTGCCTTCAGGAGGGCCAGAAAGCCACTGGGCATGGTGGCACATACTCGAAACCTATGAGGCCAGGGCAGACAGATTGCCAAGTGTTCAAGACCAGTCTGGACTAGTTAGAGTTCAGGCCAGCCTGGCTACATGGTGGAGTCAGCTGGGACTAGTGTGCAGCCCTGTATTACTACCTACTTGGGAAACTGAGGCAAGAAGAACACTTTCACTTAGGCCGGGTGGTGGTGGCACACACCTTTAATCCCAGCACTCGGGAGGCAGAGGCAGGCAGATCTCTGTGAGTTCAAGACCAGCTTGGTCTACAAGAGCTAGTTCCAAGACAGGCTCCAAAGCCACAGAGAAACCCTCTCTCAAAAAACAAAAAAAACAAAAAAAACAAAAAAAAAAAAAAAAGAAAGAAAGAAAGATCACTTAGAACTAGCTTGGGCAACGTAGCGACACCTCATACAGGATGGGGATAGTAAGGTTAGGGACTACAAGCTGCTGCTACAAGCCTTGTGCTTATTAGCTGATCTCTCTGAGTCATGGTTTTTCACTTGTGCATGGGAGATTCACATGAGGGTTGTTGTGAGGTTGAATGAGATTTTACGGAGGAGCCCAAGTCCTGCTCTGGATACATAATGATCAATGCCCTGTAGTTTGGGGTTTCTTATGCTACCTTTTGGGAGGGGGGGATTCAAGACAGGGCTTCTCTGTGTAACATCCCTGGCAGTCCTAGACCTCTCTTTGCATTGTAGACCAGGTTGTCCTCAGACTCACGGAGATCCGCCTGCCTCTGCTTCCCAAGTGCTGGGATTAAAGTGTGTGCCACCCCTGACCAGCTCTTACTATCCTTTTATGCCTACCAATGCAAAGGGGAGAAAATGGGCCCAAAGGGACAAGATGGCTCCTCAGTAGCCACCACATGGGGAAGCAGTCTTCCTGGCTTTATAATCCTCAGCCACACGGCCACTCCCTGGAACCCAGAGACAGCCAGAGGACTAGACTAGAAGCTGCTAACACTGTGACCTGAGCTGGTGTCGCGGCCCTTTAACGCGGTTGGGGACTGAGTGGTCCCCTCAGAGACATGGGGCAAGGACTGGGGTTGGGAGGCTGACTGGGAGAGCCCACAAGCAGGCCTTCCAGAGGGCAGGCAGCTCACGGGGCTGCAGAGATACCATGCCTGCTACTCACTGTGTGTTTACTCTGTCTGTCTGCCAACATTAGCCCGGGTTCTTTCTGTTCCCTTGGGATACTGTTCTTCACTGAGCCCTGTCCAACCCAGCACAAGTAACTGCTGCAGATCCATGGGCCACCCCTATCACACACACACACACACACACACACACACACACACACACACACACACTTTCCAAGAAACAGCTGAAGGAGCTGAGCCAAGCTTCTGGAAGGTTCAAACACGAACCTTATTAGGCTCCCCGAAACGCTGAGCTCCGGGGTATACTATCCTGAGGCTGGGGGCAGGCACGGGTGAGAGCAGCAGATCTCATTCACTAGGACGTCTGGCACCGTCCTGGCAGGGTCTCTTGCGTCCCCCAGCCTCAGTTTCCCCATCCATAGCAGGTTGGAAGAGTCCTCGTGTCGGTGGGTCCCCTGGGATTCGGGAAGGGAGCACCCATAGGGGAAGTTCAAAGAGAATGGAATGCGCATGCCTAGGCCTCCCATGAGCCACGCCCAGTCTGAGGCTCCCAAGTGGCCCCTAGGGAGAAAGGTTTGGAAGCGTGGCTGTGGAGGAGGCGCCCTCTGCTGGGCTATAAATAAAATATTCCTAGACTGTCTACCTGTCTTCACAAACAGCCACTGCTTGTCTTCTTTCTTCCCGTGTGGCGCCCCCTGCTGCCTCGGGCACTCATTAGATGCCCAGTAAATGCAGAAATAATTGCAAGCCGAAATCTAGCGGATACCAGTGGAGTGTGGGACGGTAGCCCTGACACAGAGTGGCACATTTCATTCCCCCTGGGGAGTTGTCATGGCCTCCCCTAGGCACTGCAGGGCCCACAGCTGGAGTGACGGAGGGGCAACCTTGCAGAGCTCTCTCCTGAGGTCCCCAGCCAGAAGCCATCTCGTTGCTGTCTCTGAAACACACAAGCAGCCTGGGGGCGGTGCACACTGTCTGTCTACAGGGCGTTGGTTCTTGTACTGAGTGGCTTTGATCCGGTCACTTTACCCCTCCCCTTTAATATTTACTTATTATGTATACAGTGTTCCGTCTGCCTGTACTCCTGCAGGCCAGAAGAGGGCACCAGATCTCATCACAGATGGCTGTGAGTCACCATGTGGTTGCTGGGAATTGAACTCAGATCCTCCAGAAGAGCAGTCAATGCTCTAAATTTCTGAGCTATCTCTCCAACCCTCACTCACCTCTTTTTTTTTTTTTTTTTTTTTTTTTGGTTTTTTGAGACAGGGTTTCTTTGGCTGTCCTGGAGCTCACTTTGTAGACCAGGCTGGCCTCAAACTTACAGAGATCTGCCTGCCTCTGTTTCCCAAGTGCTGGGATTAAAGGTGTGTGCCACCACAGCCTCTGCCTTCTCACTTTTAAGCCTTATCATCTGTTCAGCGGGTATCAAAACTGCACTGACCTGATAGGAAGGCTGTAAGGATTTCCACAGGGGTATGGCTGGCGAGAAGGTTCAGTGGTTAAGAGCACTGACCACTCTTCTAGAGGACCTGGGGTCAATTCCCCAGCACCTACATGACTGCTCACAACCATCTATAACTCCAGTTGCAGGGGATCCAACACTCTCTTCTGACCTCCTCAGGTAAAATCCATATAAGTAAATGGCACATAACAACAATAAATTACAAATAACAACAATAAATTACAAATAACAATAAAATTGCATAGACTGCCAGCTATCTGTGGCATATCCTTTTTTTTTTTTTTTTTGGTTTTTTGAGACAGGGTTTTTCTCCTAGAATTAGCTCTTGTAGACCAGGTTGGTCTCGAACTCACAGAGATCCACTACCTCTGCCTCCCAAGTGCTGGGATTAAAGGCGTGCACCACCACTGCCCGGCTCACCGTCCTTTCTCAAGTGACAGCTTGCCTCTCTATGTGCTTGGCACACACTAGGCATTCAATACTGGCTCTCTGGGCTTCTATCTGAAAGACAACTGGATCCTAAGAGTCTGGTTTTTGGCTGGGCGGTGGCCCACGCCTTTAATCCCAGTACTTGGGAGGCAGAGGCAGGTGGATCTCTGTGAGTTCAAGACCAGCCTGGTCTACAAGAGCTAGTTCCAGGACAGCCTCCAAAGCTACAGAGAAACCCTGTCTTTAAAAACCAAAAAAACAAAAAAGTCTGGTTTTTGTTCATTACCCTGTGTATCATCACCTGCTCTGGGCCCCTTCCTTCCCTCCACATTGCTGCAGACAGTCCTGGCCCCTGCAGCCTCCTGAGCTTCTTGCTGCAGAGGCTTCGTGCCCGCACTGTCATGACGACGGACTTGGCCACGGGGCCAGTCTTTACAGGCAAGAGTGTCAGCCATGTCTTCAGCACCCAGCACAAAGCCTCGAGAATGGGGGAAGCCAACTGTACAATGAAGCCTCTGAAATCCCTGTTCAGTGTTATGTTACCCAGAGTTTCACATCGAACCCCTGTGATGGTTAGTAGAAGGTGTGTTGCTAAACTCCCTTTTCATACTTTGGGAGACTGAGGCACATAGCCGATGTGGCTTGTGCACCAAACCTGAGTATGTCAGAACACTGTTACACACTCCGGACACAACACAGTTGTCCCACTGCCTCATGGCTCTCAAAGTTTGCTGCAGGCAGGAGCAGTATTCAGGGACCTCTGAGAATGTGCTAGAAATGGATATTCTGTCCTCATGTGCTGAACCGCAAACCCTGGATCTGGATTCCAGCAAGCCTTCTAGGGCATCTAGTGCATGCCACAGTTCTGGAACCCCCTCTTCGCAGCAGCCCTACAAAGTCACCACAGGTATCCGTACTTTACCAACAGGTAAGTCAGGTGCAGAGAAAAAGGCAATGTCAGGCAAGGCCGCTGGGAACAGTTAACAGCTCCTACTTCTCTTGCAGGGGACCTGAGTTTGATTCCTAGCACCCGCATGATGACTCACAACCATTTGTAACTCTAGTTACAACTTCTAGGCTTGTAGGCACCTAGTATATATACAAGTATATATACAAACTTATTGTTTGTTTTTTTGTTTTTGGAGACAGGGTTTCTCTGTATTGTTTTGGAGGCTGTCGGACCAGTCCGGCTTTGAACTCACAGAGATCCCCCTGCCTCTGCCTCCCGAGTGCTGGGATTAAAGGCGTGTGCCACCACCGCCCGGCTTACTTGTTTGTTTTTATATAGTGTCTCTCTATTACATAGTTCTGCTCTGGCTGTCCTGGAACTTACTGCCTCCCGAGTGCTGGGATTAAAGGTGTGCGCCACCACCGCCTGGTTGTTTTAATTTTAAAAAAGTAAAAAGGCCATTGCTCCAAGGCCACACAGCTGGTAGATAATTACCAAGGTTAGAATCCAGGTAATTTCCTCGCTCATGTAAATCACCAAAGAGTTCACATCAGAATTGAATTAGAATCAGTGTGTTTGTTTGTTTGTTTGTTCTTGATTTTTCGACACAGGGTTTTTCTGTGTAGCCCTGGCTGTTTTGCGCTGTTAGACCAGGCTGGCCTCTAACTCAAGAGATCTGCCTGCTGGAATTAAAGGCTTGTCTAGGATCATTAGTTTTTAGCCATTCATTAATAACTTCATACTGAGCACCTGCTAGGGCCAGGTTGGGCGATGGAATCGCGGGGCCTATTTCTCACTATAGCCATTCTGCGAAGACCTGAACTGTGAGAGACAGGGTGGGAGGCTCCTTTAAAAGGCGGAGACAAGTCGGCGGAACTGTGGAACAAGGCCCCTGAATGCGCTCTCCGGGACATCTGAAACTGCTACACACGGAAGTATTTTAGGCTAGCAGCGGCCACGCTGCCGGAAGCTTCCCTGTTATGGGCCGCAACAAGAAGAAGAAGCGAGATGGAGATGACCGGCGGCCTCGGCTCGTCCTCAGCTTCGATGAAGAGAAGCGGCGGTGAGTGGCAGGGTCGAACCGGATTCCGGTCGGGCTGCCGGGAGAGGCCTCGCCAGGTCAGGGCGCGCGCATGTCCACACAGGAGACCCTTCCGGCTCCGCCCCTGGACGTGCCCGACTTGGTGGGACGGTGTCGCCCGCTCTCCTCCCGCGGGTCCCGGCCTGTGCAGAGCTGTGCCTTGGATCACCCGAGTCCAGCCTGGCCGGTGGTCCTGGCACACAGCCTGCTTCCGGTCGTCGTCGGCGAACGGCGAGTGAATGGGATAAGAGAGGCTTATGTTCATTCATTCATTCATTCACTCACGCATACTGTGTTAAACCAAGCTTGGGACCCGGAGGCTGAGCCTTTGCGCGTCAGTATCACTGTAGATAAAATGGCACGTTGTGGTGCGTCTGCGAAAACCCTGGTGCAGCGCACCAAACGGAGCTGCAGTTGCCTGTCCTGGCGGTGTAGACCAGTTATCCTAAACCACCGGGATGCTGATGCAGGAGAATTGCTAAGTAAAGGACCGCAGAGAGAGTTCAAGACCAGTCTGGGCATTTGGGCGCTGTCCCTGTCCCCAAAGCAATATAAGCTAATTAGGTTTAATCCTCCAGTACAACAACAACATCGGGACCAGAGCAGAGATCAGATAGGAGGGGGAAGAGTTGGGAGGGTGGGGGCACCCCTAGGTCCCAACCCACCAGTGGGGTCTGGGTGAAGGCCGTCTTGGAAAGCCCAATTAGAGGCGACTCCTGCCAGTGTTGAAGCAGCCCCTCCCGCTCAGTGTCCCCACTGCCCCGCATCGTGTGTCCCCGCCAAGGGGCAAGAGACACAGGTGAGGTAGGCGCCCTGGAGAAAGAAGCCTGCGGGAAGGCAGCGCCCTCCGTCATATTGTGCTTAATGATGGAGCACGCAGTGAGGCGCAGCTCACAGCACAGGTGTGTGGTAGGTTACCCCGCCTGGGATCTGTAAGTGCACCGTGACGGGCCAGCCTGGACTAGCAACTCGTTTTTCATAAGCTGCCCTTGCCATTGAATGACCCAACTGTGTTCTCCGTGATCTTGGATAGGTACCCTAGTCTCTCAGTGTCCTTCTCTGTGAAATAAGGGCAGGCTGTTGAGAGGGCAGAGTGGGTTAGCGCGTAGGGCGGAGCTTGGCCCTTACAGCACTGGAAGTTTCTCCAGGGCCCTCCTGACTGACTCCCCCCCCCCCCCTTTCCTTCCTGCAGGGAGTACCTGACAGGCTTCCACAAACGGAAGGTGGAGCGGAAGAAGGCGGCCATCGAGGAGATTAAGCAGCGGCTGAAGCAGGAGCAGAGGAAGCTCCGGGAGGAGGTGCGGTGCAGAGGAGGGCGGGGGCGTAGGAAGGGGGCGGGAGGGGGGCGGGAGGGAATACGTCTGATGGAGGCCGCCAGAGGCTGAGCAGAAGGTATGTGTGCACGAGGGGAACTGTTTACACACTGGGGGTGCGAAGGATGAGTCTCCTCCTGAGCTTGCTCTATAGTGGTCTCACATCGTGGAAGTGAACAGGGTTGTTGCCTGGGATGGACTGGAAAGCCCAGTGTTCAACCGTGATATATAAAACTTGACAAGAGCACCCCAAGAGAGAAAGGGTTTATTCTGGCTCACTGTTGGAGGGCACGGTCCATCGTGGCCGGGGCTTGAATCCGGCTGGTCCCATCCCAGCCATAGCCAGGAAGCAGAGTAGAGAAGGCATGCTGCTCTTCAGCTCAGTTTCTCCGTCCAGGATCCCAGCCTGGGGGGGGGGGGGGCTTACCACCCATATTGGGCTGGTCTTCTCGCCTCTAGATAATACCCCATAGATATGTCAGAGGCCCATCTCCCTTCTGTCGGGTTAACAATTAACACTGTCACATCATCCTGCTTGACTTCAGCGCCACCAGGAATACCTGAAGATGCTGGCGGAAAGAGAGGAGGCCCTGGGTAAGTCCCCAGCTGGCTCTTATGTGGAGAGCATCTAGTGAGCCTGGGCCGTGTGCCCCGGTGGGTAAGGGAGAATGCAGAGAAGCTGGACAGAGGGTGATTGCCTTAGCCATAGGGATCTTGGTGGTGATGGAGGGGCCGAGGGTGGGTCAGAGACCAGGGACCCCACCACATGGTAAACTGAGGCTGAGCAGAGAGCCTGGGGATGGAACAGCTCTTGCTGTCACTCAGTTTCTTCAAAGCAGGGACAGAGTGATGCCAGGATGGCTTCCAGCACTCATGTGGGTGGGGCGTTGGGCCCCGAGTGGATGCGGAAAGACAGGGTGGGCGGGTTTGATGCCAGTAAAGAATGGCAGGCTCTAGAAAAGCACGCTGCGCCCAGTCCCCGGCCCTCGGGCCGCTGGGAGGTTGGAGCCCGGTGGCTGAGCCAGGGCTGAAGGCCGATCTGTGTCCGCCTTGCAGAGGAGGCGGATGAGCTGGAGCGGCTGGTGACAGCAAAGACAGAGTCGGTGCAGTATGACCACCCCAATCACACAGTCACCGTGACCACCATCAGTGACCTGGACCTCTCAGGGGCCCGGCTGCTGGGTCTTCCCCTGCCAGAGGTAGGTCCCAGGGCAGCCCTGGGGAAGAGGGGCTAGGGTAGATTGGTTCGTGGGGGCCGCTCAGTGCCTGAGGTCAAGGGTCTCCTGCTGAAGTGTGCTCCTGGAGGCTTTCTTGTGTGACTCGGTTCATCAGTTAGCTGAGTGCTGCCATGGTAGACCTGGGGTAATAACCATGAGGATGCAGGGGTGAGGCCCGTGGTACTGAGCCCAGCTATAGTAACTGCTCAGCAGACCACTTAGAGTGACCGCAACCATTGCATGGCAAGCAGCACATGTACCCTTGGCATGTGTGCACAAGGGCCCTGAGTTTGTAATATGGGTTGTGTGTCCTCAATAACTTGTTCAAAACAGCATCCCAGTAAGTGGACAAAACCCTTGCTCCACTTTAAAGCTATGCCTGTGGCTTATGTAGTAATTTCTATATCAGAGTCCCTTCAGCCCTGCAAATGTTCAAGTCTTTTGAATAAAATGCTGTGGTATTTACATAGAACCTACGTAGATCCTCCCTTGTCCTTTAATTCATCTCCTAGTTACTTAGAAGACTGAATGCCAGGCCAGCAAGATAGCTTAGGGTAAAGGTGCTTCCACAGCCTGAGTTCAGTCCCTGGAGCTCTGGAACTCCACGAGGTGGAAGGAGAGAACTGACTCCTACAGGTTCTCTCTCTCTCTCTCTCTCTCTCTCTCTCACACACACACACACACCCCACCCCAACACATGCACACTAAATAATACAAAAACAATCTGAGTACTCTGTAAGTCCTGCCTGAGTTGTTACAGTGCAGTGGTCAAATAATAGCATGAGTCTGGGAACTTGAGAGATGACTCAGCGGTTAAGAACATTTTCTGCTCTTGCAAAAGACCCAGGTTCAATTCCCAGCACCCACACAGTGACTCACAACAGGGGCAGGCCAGCATAATGCCTGAGTCCTTACAACTCCAGTTCCAGGAGATCTGACCCCTCTTCTGACCTCTGCAAGCAATGTATTCATCAATTTAAAAGTCTTTAAAAAAAAAGATAAATCGCCGGGCGGTGGTGGCGCACACCTTTAATCCCAGCAATCGGGAGGCAGAGGCAGGCAGATCTCTGTGAGTTCGAGGCCAGCCTGGTCTACAAAGTGAGTTCCAGGACAGCCTCCAAAGCTATAGAGAAACCCTGTCTCAAAAAAACCAAAAAAAAAAAAAAAAAAGATAAATCTATGCTCAGCCCAGACACTGTGTCTCCTTCCAGATGTTTTACTTCTTTTCATTCTGTAGCTGGTCGACTCCAACTGCCCAGAGAGTACAGCATAAAGAGCATTTCCAGGCTGAGGATGCAGCCTGTCCAGAATGTGAGGCCCTAGGTCCAGTCTCCAACATCACAAAACAACAGAACCAAACCCCACACATTGCCAAGGACAGGCATGGAAGCACACAAGGCTAGGTGAAGGCAGGAGGTTCAAGACCAGCCTGGGCCCCTCTCTCTCTCAGAAGGAGAAAATTCCTGCCCCGAGTTGCAGTGTCTACATCCTGGAAAGCCGTGGCCTGGCTGGCTTCTACCTGCTTTATGCTTGTCCTCTCTAAGGCCTGACACAGTGTGTCTTGTCATTTTGCTGATGTTACTATGTTTGGAAACGGGCTGTCCTTTGTCATTCTGGTTCTCAAACAGTGTCCTAGTTTCCTGTCTGCTAGTGTGACAAACACTATAGCCAAAACAACCTAGGGGAGGAAAGGGTTTATTCATCTTATACTTCCGGGTCAGAGTTCATCATAGAAGGAAGTCAGGGGAGAAACTCAACAAAGGAACCGGAGGTTCAAACTGTGCTCACTCTGACTCGCTCGCTCTCTAGTTCATGGTTAGCTAGCGTTTTCATACAGCCCAGGACTAAAGAATGATGCCACCCAATGTGGCTTGGTCTTGCCCATAGACCAACCTGATCTAGGCCATTTCTCAATTGAGTCTTCTCTCAGTGACTCTGGGATGTGTCAGGTTGGCAATTAAGGCTAAACAGGATAGACATACACAGTGCATTTCTGTCCGGAGCCTTCTCTGAGTCTTATGAAGGCCTTTAAGGTTGCTGACCAGACTTCTGTGCTAAAGGTAGGGCTTCTCAGGGTGCCTGCCTACTTCCTGTAACAGTCCCTATCCTTTGTCTCTCTAGCAAGGGGACCTGGATGGGTCCCAGGAGGAGATGTCATCCATGGAGAAGCCAACCAAAGCCTTGCCCAGGAAGTCCAAAGATCCCCTCCTATCTCAGCGGTAAGCTCTCGCTTAGTTCCTGGGTCCCATTTCTGCCTGGTACTAGCGAGTAGGCATGCGGAGTTACCCCATCCTGGCGGTGGGGGCGAGGAGCCTGTCAGGCTCTGTAGAGGCAGACCAGGAATTTGAAATGTGTTTGGAGCTTGTCCCAGCTTCTCATCCATGAGTCAGATGATCAGTGTCCAGTTTCCCCACCGTTGCCTCAGTCTCAGGGTAAGCCCAGGCCCTGGCCTCACCAGCCTCCACTCTCCTCAGTGTCAGGGTAAGCCCAGGCCCTGGCCTCACCAGCCTCCACTCTCCTCAGTCTCAGGGTAAGCCCAGGCCCTGGCCTCACCAGCCTCCACTCTCCTCGCAGCATCTCCTCCCTCACAGCTACCCTGCACGCACACAGTCGGAAGAAGGTCAAGAGGAAACCCCCTCGGCGGGCCCAAGACTCCACCAAGAAACCTCCCAGTGCAACTCGTACCAGCAAGACCCAGCGCCGCCGCAGGATGGCCGGAAAAGCCAGGCACAGCGGGGAATGAGCCCTCGAGAAGCCCGTGGGTCCCCAGCCAAAGTCTGTGGCTGTCCCTGCAACCCAGCTGTGCTGAGGACTAACTGCAACCTAAGCCTAAAACCAGGACTTCTGCAGCCCGGGGTGGGCTTCCTGAAGCCCTGGCCCCAGGAGCCTGCAGAGCTGTGTCAGGATTTCTTCACAAATGTACATCCACCCGGAACTCAACAGTCCTTGAGACTCCTCACAGGTGTGCTTGTGATTTGTCCTGGCTCTGGTGCCGTGCCCCATCTCCCACCTGTGGGCTTTCCTGAGGGTATTACAAGGTCATGTCCTGTCTGGGTCCCCTAGCATAGCTGGAGGATGGCATGTCCCCTATAGAATCCAGAGCTGTGGCCCACTGTGTGGTATATGGAATATTTCAGCAAGGAGACTGAGCGGCAGAAGACTCAATTCATGTCATCTGCAGCTACACAGGGAGTTTTGTGCCATCTTGGTCCAGCTGTCGGGTGGCATCTGAAGACTGAGGGCTAGAGTCAGAAAGCCACATTCAGGGATTGCAAGTTGAGCTCAGAGCCTTCCTGGGGCCGGCTTGGCCTGGCCTTAGCCCCTCCTTCCTTCCTTTCCTTTCTCTGCTTTGGGAGTGGTGACTCCACCATAGACCTGGGCCTCACCCTTTAGACCACTGCACAGGACAACAAGGCAGGAAATGCAGGGATTTGGTTCCTGTGTGAGCCTCAAACAGTGCTAGCCTACCATGTGTGTTTCCCTGTATGAGTTCCCATCAGGCCACCCTGAGACTGGAGTATGAATAGGATAAATAGGGCACTTTGCAGCACACCAGGGTCACAGCTCATGGCTCACAGCATGTCCCTGTCTTGTCAGTAGAGATGTCTGCCTCCATCCCCTTTCTCTGTTGAGGTGATATCATTTCCAAAGTACACTGGCAATTCACCAGAAGTGAGACGCCATATGCCTTTCCTGTATGCCATTGGTTTTTCTAACTGTCACAAGTGTGGCCAGTTCTCAGAGCAGGGAGGTGGAGTCAGAACCCCTGGAAACTTGTATGTCCTCCCAGGACACCCCTACACATGCACGTGCCCCCACACACATGGTCTAAGCCCCTGAAAACTGTGTCTTCTCCCAGGACACACCCTGTACACAGGATACCCCTACACATGCACGTGCCCCCATACACACGGTCTAAGCCCCTGAAAACTGTGTCTTCTCCCAGGATACACTGTGTACACAGGACACCCCCACACTCTCTCAGCGTGGACTCCTTCCCTATCTTTCCGCTGTGGGCAGAGTTGGGTCTGTGGGGACATCAAGAACAGAAAGGTTAGTTTGACATGGTGACACACTTGTACCAGCACTTGGAAGCAGAAGAGGAAGCATTGCTGTAAGGTCTAGCCTAGTCAGGGCTACAGAGAGCCAGCCTCAAAAAAAAAAAAACAGACAAGGAAAGGAATGAAGTTACTAGGACATGCTTGTACATGAGGCCTGGGTAGGAGACCCCAAATTCTAAGCCCAGCTTGGGCAACATATCGGGACCTAGGACAGAGAGAGTCAGCTCCATATATCAAATGTTCACAACTAGTTCGTGTACTGAGGACTCTCAGATTGATGTTGGGAAGACTAGAAGCTGGGTGGCAGGCTTTTAAATCTTCTTTTGGGCCTTTTTTTTTTTTTTTTTGGATAACTTTGCCTCACAGCCCAAGATAGCTGTTTGAGCTCCAGCCAGCACATCTGCATTTCAGCTAGCAGAGAAAGAGGAAGGGATGGAGAAGGACATAATCATAATCAATCTCTTAAAAAAACCTACACTCGACGGGTGGTGGCGCACACCTTTAATCCCAGCACTCGGGAGGCAGAGGCAGGCAGATCTCTGTGAGTTTGAGGCTGGGCTGGACCAACAGCCTCCAAAACAATACAGAGAAACCCTGTCTCATCAAAACAAAACAAAAAAACCTACACACTTGCTGTGTTCTGTTGGCCAAAGGCCTCTGGGGTGTGTGTGTGTGTGTGTGTGTGTGTGTGTGTGTGTGTGTGTGTGTGTGTGTGTGTGTGTGTGTGTGTGTGTGTTCGTGTGTTCCCTGCTGGGAGAGAAGTAAGAACTTTGGCTGTTCCAGGAAGGAAAGTACCCAGAGGAGAACCAGGGCATGGTCTGTGAACAGGGAAGGAGGGGGATTGGGGTAGAGCTAGCGGGCTCTTTTCCCGGGAAGAGCTGTGGGGAGGCTGACAGCAGCACAGAGCTAACTGCCCCCAGCTGGCCCTGTGCTGGGACAACAGTGGGCAGTGACTCAGTCCAGGGAAGGCAGAGGGCCCGGGCTCTCCAGAGCAGGACAGGACAGGGGCATTTGAGAAGGCTTTTGCTCAGAGACACCCCTTAACCTGCTTAAAAGGCCAACAGGAGAGGATGCTGCCTGGTTCAGGGTCCCTGGAGAGCAAGGGATTGTGGGTCCGGGAGGCTGAATGGAGTGAGTCAGCATTGTGGCTTTATTTTAGAGAGGCCTCCTGGTGGCAGCGAGGGTGTGTGCTGGCAGATCTGAAACCAAACCCAGACATACCAGGAGAGGCAGGTTTGCAGGCCTTGGCCTTCAGTGTTTTCAGGCCACTTGCCAGGTGCAGGACACTGAGGTGAGTGCTGAGCAAAGCAGCTGGAGCGCTGTGAGCATGAGGCAGGGACGCCAAGGCGGGAGCAGAGCAGGGAAGGCAACTCTGACATCAATGGCAAAGCAAGTCCACCAAGCTGGTAGCCATACCCAAAAAACAAAGGTCTCGCCTCCAGAGGGGTCCCTCGGGTTCCTACACAAAAGACAACCCAAGAGGATTATGAGTCCAGCTGAGAGTTCCCGCTCCACATGGGGATGGCAGAGAGGCCTTCCCGGAGGGAGTAGAATTTGAGCCATCACATGGCAATGGAGATCTCTGATTCACGCCAGGCGTTGGGGTTACACGCCTTTAATCCCAGCACTCGGGGAGGCAGAGACAAGCGGATCTCTGTGAGTTCGTGGCCAGCCTGGTCTACAGAGTGAAGATCTGCGATTCACCATTTCTGAGAGGCCCCAAGCTTATCGTGACTTAGTCACATCGTTGAAAGCCACCTTGACTCCATAGCAACATCTGCGAGCCCTTGGATATAAGCAAACTTCCACCACCAGTCTGATTTTGCCGCTATGCCTTGGCTTGTATCCCCTTAAACTGTGAGCCCCAATCACTGTTTACAACTTTAACTCTGTTTTCCTAGGCAAGTAGACAGGTGAAAACACGCCTGGCTGTGTGGTCACACAGGACAGCCCTGATGACCCCGGTAAAGGTCATCCATACTGTTCTGCTCTGCCAGGTAGCCCTCTCTACCTTGCTCACCAAGGCTCCAAACCCTCCATTGCCCATGAGGAAGGACTGGGTGTCCCTTCCCTTTGCCAGGTGAAGGCACAGGTTCTGGGGTAGAGCAGGGAGTCATGGCACTCTCCAGATCTCTATGGGGTTCTCAGCCAGGTCCCTGAGCCAAGCAAGGGTGTGGATGGAGCAGAGGCCCAGCAAAGTGACAATGCAGGTGGATGGGTGTCTTAGTCATGTTCATTGCTGTGATGAAACACCATGGCACGGGGCTGGAGAGATGGCTCAGCGGTCAAGAACACTGGCTGCTCTCCCAGAGGACCCAGGTTCAATTCCCAGCACCCACATGGTGGCTCACAACCATCTGTAGTGAGATTTAATGCCTTCTTCTGGTGTGCAGGGATACATGTAGAACACTGTAGACACAATAATAAAATAAATCCTTAAAAAAAGTAAGTTGGAGCCGGGCGTTGGTGGCGCACGCCTTTAATCCCAGCACTCGGGAGGCAGAGGCAGGCGGATCTCTGTGAGTTGGAGGCCAGTCTGGTCTACAAAGCGAGTTCCAGGACAGCCTCCAAAGCCACAGAGAAACCCTGTCTCGAAAAAAAAAAAAAAAAAAAAAAAAAAAGTAAGTTGGGCATTGGTGACCCATGCCTTTAATCCCAGCACTCTAGAAGCAGAGGCAGGTGGGTCTCTATAAGTTCCAGACCAGCTTGGTCTACAGAGAGTTTCAGGACTACAGAGAAACCAGGGCCACAGAGAAACCCTGTCTTGAGAAAACATAAAATGATAACAATTTAAAAGTTCTCACCCCCCAACTTATTTTTAAAACATGTCTTGTGAATATTTTGCCCGCACCATATGTGCAGTATCAATGGAGGCCAGAAGAGGGCACTGTACCCCTGGAGCCTCTGTAGTTGCGGATGGTTGAGCTATGTGGGTGCTGGGAAGCAAACCCAACTCGTCTGCAAGAGCAGCATGTGTTGGTAACTGCTGTCATTTCTCCAGCCCATAGGAGTTCTGTTCATAAAAGATCTCCACAACTGGGCCTGTTGATGGTTTGCCTTCCCTCACAGAAGGGGACAGAGAGGACTGTTGGACCTTCACCCGAGTATGCTGGCCCTCCCAATCAGCCATATGCAATTCTGCTCTAATAGTGTGTGGCCTCAGGCTACAGGCGAGGAGGAACTGGGGGCCCTCCATCTATGCAGCTCTGGGGAAACCATAATCCCTGCTTGGTAGAGAGCACTAGCATTTCTGGAAGTAACCCCTCACTCTATAAGGAAGCCTAGTAAACTCATTGGTTCTGCAGAGAGAGTGGTGGCGGAATAGTGCCTTGGGTAGGGGTTGTTGGGTCCTTAGGATGGGTAGACACTGCTTACACCTTCCTCTGGGAAGGACTTTTAGCAAATAGCATTTGCAAAGTTGTCTTTTGGCTTCCACAAATGTGCCCTTCATATGTCAATACAATAAAATAATCAGGTTAAGTCAGTGTGAAGCCAGCAAGTCCAGAGCCTGAGCGGGAGACAGCAACGTGAATAGTGACAGTGGCCACTGCCATGACTGCCTCCACATGCCCTCAGATAAATAGTGACAGTGGCCACTGCCATGACTGCCCTCAGATGAATAGTGACGGTGCCCACTGCCATGACTGCCCTCACATGCCCTCAGATGAATAGTGACAGTGGCCACTGCCATGACTGCCCTCAGATGAATAGTGACGGTGCTGCCATGACTGCCTCCACATGCCCTCAGATGAGTCCGCAGCTCACAGAAGCCTGGGATGTAGTTCCTACAGACATCCTCAGGGAGGCCGGGGGCTCTGGGCCGGTTTCTGGAGTCTGACTTTCCTCCGACAGAACGAGGATGAGGAGGGCTGTGTGGCTCTGTGCCCCGGGCAGCATGGGAGGGTACAAACATGACCATGTGGGGATGAGAGGGTGGCTTTGTCTCCTGGCTGCCATTTCCTGGACTAAGAGCTCTCTGGGTTCCGCCATCCTCCTCACCCACCTCTACAGAGGGGCCTCTGCCTATTTCTCTTTGTTCCCTGCCTCCTGCCATCCTCCTGGGCAAACACTCCAAAGCCAAGGCCAGTCCTGACTCGTGGTGCCCACCCAGGCCCTCTCCTGCTGTTCCTCCAGTCCAGCCTTCCTCCAGCCTGTGACCTGTCCACATCCATGGGCTCACTGCCCCTGGATCTTTGCTAAGATGCATGGGTCTCTTGTTCCTCGATGAGCCTCAGCAAACATGACCAACAAAGGGACTCCATAAATGTCTAGTAACTGGGTTGTCAGGTGGGCACCCTCAGTTGCCTCTAGGTTGAATTGCCTGGTAGGGACAGAGGGCTGGGCCTTGCTCAGTCCCAACTCAGTTGAAATACCCATTCTGCCCCAGGCTCAGAGAGGTCAAGTAACTGTCGCAAGGTCACCCAGCCAAGAAGTGTTAGAGGCTGACCCTGAACCAAGGTCTTACTAGCCCCTGTCTTGTGACTAGCCAGACCACAGAGAAGCACACTGTGCCTTGCCAGCCAGCTCCATGCTGGGCCGGGATGGCTGATCAGGGCCTCTCTCTGCCCTCACCTAGGAAGAAGCCACATTTTATTCATGCTCTCTTTTCTGAGTGCTTCAGCAGACATAGGTGAATGAGAGAACCGGGGAACATTCCACGGTGGCCTGTGGAGTCCTGATTCTGCCCGTATTAGCTGTCCCACCCTGGCAAGTCAGTTGACACCTCTGATCTTTGTTGCTGTGTGTAAGGGCCTGGCTTAGGAGCTGGAGTATAACCAGTGCACAACCTGAAACGTTAGGGTGTGGCCAGGTCAGGGTTCAGATGGAGGGGAAGACCCCTGAGCTGGGGTGCTCTGTGCTCCTCGAGACCCTCACTGCAGTGCCTGGAGTGATGCCACGTTGGCACTGTATTCCGCTCATATGTACTAGCTGTCTGGAACTGTTCTGCCTGAACAAGGCATTTAGTCGGTTGGCTTCCGTTTTTGGTGTTTTTGCTTTTGTTTGATGGGGTCTTAGGTAGAGCAGGCCTCCAACTGATTCTGTAGCCAAATTTGGCCTGGACCTCCTAATCTATCTCCCTCCCTCTGTCCCTCCCTCCCCCCTCCCTCCCCCTCCCTCCCTCCTCTCCCTCCCTCCCTTCCCCCTTCCCCCCAGACAGAGTTTCTCTGTGTAACAGCCCCTGGCTGTCCTGGAACTCACTCTGTAGACCAGGCTGGCCTCGAACTCACAGCGATCCTCCTGGGTCACCACCGGGTGGCCTACCTCCTGGTTTTCTTGCCTTCACTCCCAGGTCACTGCTCCTACTGCCCCCGCCTCCCAACTGCTGGACTTACCGATGGACGTGCGTCACCAGCCTCTGGCTTTGCTTTCTGGGCATGTCTCACTCTGTCTGCCAGGCTGACCCGTTCTCCTGCTTCAGATCGTCAAGTGCCACCACACCGGGATAGCCACACTTTGTACTTTCCACGTGTGCGTTAGTGCCTTTTTGAAGACCTTAGCTAGAAAAGCCAACGGGAAAGGGCCTAGAGAACGCGGGGTCAGCCTAGCCTTCAGGCCCCATGGGAACCAGACTGGACCAGGCTGCGGCAGCGCAGCCAGGCGAAACGTGCCGGGCATCCCGCGCTCCCAGGCGCCTGGGCACCTCCCGCCTCTGCCCCGCCCCTAGTCCTCGCTGGGTCCAATCGCACACTGGCCATGCAAATGAAGCTCCGAGGGCGAGCCTATTGGAGCGCTGCAGGGGTGTGGTCTTACACGCGCCTCCCGGGCAGCGTTTTGATTCATTGTTAAAACGGGATTGTGACCCTGGTGCTAGCACCTCCACCGCCCGGTGAGTAGAAATCCGAGCTCAGGTCAGAACCCCGAAGCTAGCGGAACCGAGCGGGCCAGAGCGAGAGACCAGGGGAGGGAGGGAGGCTGCGGGACCCCGAGGAGCAGGGAGACCGGCTGCAGGAAGGGGACTAAGGGCCATTCTCAGGGCGGGGTGTGCAGACGCACGAGGGCTTCTTGCAGTTACAGTCTTACTGCATTTTAGGGGAGATTTCTGCCGGTTGGCTGGGGGTCGTGGAGGAACCTGGAGTCACAAGGAACACATGAAGAGTCCTTGTCTCGCCCCCGGAAAAGGAGCCACGTTCTCCACCCAAGACGATGCTCCTCTTGGTGGTTGGACCAGGAAAGAACAACCCAGGTTGGTGGGGCACATCCACCCATCCACCATGCAGGGGGCTAAGTAGGGCAGACCGATGGCTGCCCGGGGAGGACCCAAGCCCGGTGGATCCTCCTGTGGGGGTCCCAGTCTCCAAGGGAATGACCTGGCGCCTCAGGGGAGGACCCAGAATCCCTCAGTTCAGCTGAGATTGATTGGCAACAAAATCCCCCCCCCAGCTCTGTCGTCACCAAGTAGGTCAGGTATGAGGTGACCCTGGGGTGCTCTAAGGTACACGGGCTCTTTTTTTGGAGGGGGGCGATACTGGAAACCTCCCCTACCTATACCTTCCCAGGCTGTGGATGAGTGAGAGGGCAGCAGTCTCCTGACCCAGAGTCGCTTCCAGGGTGTGGACGTTATAGACTCCAAAACAGAGAGGACTGGACTTGGTTAAAGACCCCCAGCTAGGATGGCGGTGTGGCTCAGTGGTTAGAGCGGCTGTCTAACACCTGCCAGGACTTGGGTTTGATCTTCAGAAGTGGGGGATGGGCAGACACACCACGCAATACGGACACCAGTGCTTCTTTTTCTGGCTAAGTTCAGTCACACATGACCTCAGGCGCTGTTCACTTGTGTCTAAGATTTGTCCTCCAGTCTGAAAGCTACCTGGCCAGCCCTGTGTATCACTCTCTGTTTGCCGGGGACCTGGGTGACTTGGCAGTGTGCTCCAGTACCCTTGCGTTCACCTCTGGGCTTTGGAGGACAGACCAGAGCCTCCAGCTGGGCCAGCGCTGCACTGTGTCAGGGAACCTCTCTGAGCCCTGGTTGCCTCCTCTGAGACTGGTGGTAACTTTTGCTGAGTAAGAGGGGAGCTGCAGTGTTACAGGGCTAGACACTTTGGGATGACTTAGGAACCCTCTTTCAAGGTGATTCAACTGGATAGAAACAGAGAAAACAGAATTATGGGGGTTTTGTTGTTGGCTTCTTTATTTGTTGTGTGTGTGTGTGTGTGTGTGTTACGTGTTTGCGTGTGTGTACATTTGTGTGTGGGTACATGTGGAAGAAGGAGGGTGATGCTGAGGTTTCCTTTCTCCCTCCCTCCCTCCCTCCCTCTCTCCCTCCCTTCCTTCCTTCCTTTTTAGTTTTTCAATACAGTTTTTTCTCTGTGTAGCCCTGGCTGTCCTGGAACTCACTTTGTAGACCAGGCTGGCCTTGAACTCAGAGATCCGCCTGACTGTGCCTCCCGAGTGTTGGGATTAAATGTGTGCAGCACCGCCGCCTGGCAGGTGATGCTGACTTTCCTTTTCAGACGGGTCTCACCAGGGAGCCTGGGCCCACGCAAATCTTCACCTCCCCACATGTGTGACACCCAGCTAGGGTTCTGGGCGTTCAGATACAGGTCCTCATGCTTGTTGGCAGCTCTTTCTGTTGTTGTTTTGTTTTTCAAGAGATGGAGGCTGTATATGTTGCCTACACTGATCCCATACTTGCATGCTCACAAGTGTTCTGAGTGGCTGGGCTCAGGGGTGCACGTCACCTCCTATGGCTGGAAACTTGCCTTTATCATGATTTGTTTTTATTTGTTTGTTTTTCCAGACAGAATTCTCTGTGTAGTCCTGGCTGTACTGGGACTCGCTTTGTAGATCAGACTGGCCTTGAACTCATTTGCCTCTGCGTCCTGAGTACTGGGATCAAAGCCATGTGCCACCACCTCCCAACTTTGTCAAATATGGTTTTTCTCATGAAAACTTATATTTTTATGAGCAGTACAAGGAGAATACAATTCAGGGTCCTTAGAACATTGACCAATAATATATAATAAAGATTAGAAATCATATGCAAATGCTTGGCAGTATGTTTGGAAACTTGGTGGCTGTTACTATTGGTGAATACATGAACAGAAAAGTAGGTAGAGCTTGGGTAAACCAGCCCTAGGATCTACACAGTGGCCCGCCAGTCGTCAGGTTCTTGTCCCCAAATCTTTCCCAGGCCCCACCTAGAGAGCCACAGGATCACAGGAGCTGCCTGGTGTGACTTACCTGCCATGGAGGAAGTGGCTAGGAATGGCCCAGGTGTACATTTTGAAGCTAGTGTATCTCCCAAGAGCCCTGTCTGAGCTGCTGTCACCCTGGGGAGGCCCATGGAGCAAGATACCAGGTAGGCTGCCTTTCTCTGTGGCAGGTGGTTTGGAATGTGGGTCGGGGATGGGCTGGGCCAGGAACTTGCAGTTGAAGGGGATGCTTCCTCCTGAGCTGTGGGCCACTTGGACTGTGTTAATACTCCTACATTTTGTCCACTTTCCAGAGGTCCTATGTGTATTTATTTATATGTATAAACCACGATTTGGGGTCAGCTTGTGTAGTCATTTGGGATGAATAGTTCTTGAACTGAGCCAGCGTTTCACGGGTTGCTAGGGCAGTGATGGTAAATGAAGCTGTCACATCATTGGCTCCAGGGGGCTGGTGGCCTACTCAACATCATGATCAGGAAGAAAGAAACCGGGGAAATGACTGTTTCAGCATAGCTGCGATCCATGCTATGAAGGAACAGGGCTGTCAGGCCACGGGGAAAGTTCTCTGAGGACCTTCAGCAACTTGAAGAAGGCTTGCCATTGAAGCTAGGAAAAAGAAGAGGGAAGGGAACGATACAGTGTGTCCAAAGGCTTTGAGGCAGAAAGGATGAAGTCCATCGGACTCATTGATCATTGAGAGGGAGAGCCACCAGTACAGAGTGGAGAACTGCTTGGGGCCTCGCTCTCATCTGGCTTTGTGTGCTTGGTTTTGTAGACATGTTGAGGACCTTAGATTGCATCTCAGTTGTCACGCAGTGACCCCAAGGACTGTAAACAAGATAGTGACTAAAGTCTTCATTTTCATGCTGCTGTGATTGCTGGGCAGAGTGTGGAAGGCAGGGAGGAGAGAGGGGAGCAGGGAAAGGGTGGAGCCTCTGCAGGTCTGCATTGGTCCCGAGTTGATGGCAGCCTTGAGATGGGGACAGAGGACTGTCCAGCCCCAGAGTCAGTTTTTACTACCATGTCCCATGCACAGAGACTGTGCCCTTCCTGAATTTGGGGCTTCCTTGGTGACCTTCCTGGAGAGCAGGGCAGTTATCACTGAGGTTTCAAGCTGAAGCCACCACTGAAGCAAACAGGGTCTGATGCCAGCGTTCCTCTTGAGGAGTGAAGTGTCCCCCCAGCCTCCTGGGAAGGAGGGCCACGGGCTGGTGTGCGCCCCCAGCCCTCCAGATGCTTATCTCCATCTTCTGGGCCACCTCTGCCTCCTATTACTTTAATTAAAAACTGACTGGGGCTGGCAATGTGACTCATTGAGTAAGGGTGGTGTCAGTCCCTGGGACCCACGTGGTAAAAGGTGCAACATGACCCTCACAAGTTGTCCTCTGACTTACACACAAGCACACATATACACAAACACAAATACACACACGAACACACAAAATAAATGTTAAAAAAAAGAAGCTGGGAGCCAGATGTTGGTGGTGCATGACTTTAGTCCCAGCACTCAGGAAGAAGAGGCAGGCGGATCTCTGTGAGTTCAAGGCCAGCCTGGTCTATAGAGCCTGTTCCAGGACAGTCAGAACTGTTACACAGAGAAACCCTGTGTGGTGGTGGTGGTGGTGGTGGTGGTGGTGGTGGTGGTGGTGGTGGAGGAGGAGGAGGAGGAGGAGGAGGAGGAGGAGGAGGAGGAGGAGGAGGAGGAAGAAGAAGAAGAAGAAGAAGAAGAAGAAGAAGAAGAAGAAGAAGAAGAAGAAGAAGAAGAAGAAGAAGAAGAAGAAGTAGCAGTAGCAGCAGAGAGATGGGTTAGTGGTTAAGAGCACTTGCTGCACTTTCAGGCTAGGTTTGGTTCCCCAGCCCCATGTCAGAAACTTACAACCACCTGAATCTCCATTTTAGGGAATCTAACGCCCTCTTGTAGCTTCCATGGGCACCTGCACACAGGTGATGTACATACACATATCCAGGCGCACATACCCATATATATAAAATTGTAAATATTTTAAAAACTTGACTGGGAGCTGGGCTGTGCCAATGGTGGCAAAGAGGCGGTTCAGTGACGAGCACTTGGCATAAAACATGATGCTCTAAGATCCATCTTAGGGCTGGAGAGATGGTTCAGTGGTTAAGAGCACTGGCTCTTCCAAAGGTCCTAAGTTCAATTCCCAGCAACCACATGGTAGGTAGCTCACAACCATCTATAATGAGATCTGGTGCTCTCTTCTGCCGGGAAGGCACACATTTAGGCAAAACACTGTATACATAATAAATCTTAAAAAAAAAAAGATTCATCCCAGCACTCAGGAGGCAGAGGCAGGTGGAGTTCTGTGAGTTTGAGGCTAGCCTGGAAAACAGCAAGTTCCAGGACAACCAGGGCTACACAGAGACCCTGTCTGAAAAATTAAAAAAAAATCTATGCCCAGTAGCACTCAAAGGCAAGGTGATTCTAGCCTCCATCTAAGACCTTTTCTTACTCTGCCCTGCTCTGTGGATGCAGGCGTATCTGTGGTGCCAGATTCCCCGAGCATCTGTCTCCTGCTGTGGTCTAGCACTGAACTGTAGCTTGGATCATTTCCACGGTGTCCTAATGGTGCTCACACTCACTGTGCCCTGAGCAACCTCATACCTTAGGTGTTAGCCACGGGCTCCTCCTCCCCATCCCCAGTCTTGTCAATTCCTAGTCCACTAGCAAGCACAAAAAAAGTTAGGTGCAGCTGGGTGGTGGTGGCATGAACCTTTAATCCCAGCACTTGAGAGGTAGGACATTCTCTGTGAGTTTGAGGCCAGCCTCGTCTACAAAATGAGTTCCAGGGCAGCCAGGGCTGTTACACAGAGAAACCCTGTCTTGAAAAAAGCAAAAATAGATAGATAGATAGATAGATAGATAGATAGATAGATAGATAGACAGACAGATAATGAAATAAAGAGCTGGGTGTGTGATGACTTGTACAACACAGCACTGGGAGACAGACAGGAACATACCATGGACTTGTTTACCAGGCAGTCTTATGATGTTCAGAACACAGTGGTAGAATGATGGGTGGCAGTGCTGTGGTGTGGCAAACGCCTTTAACCCAGCACTCAGGAGGCAGAGGCAGGTGGATGCCTTGAGTTCAAGGCCAGCCTGGTCTACAGAGTGAGTTCCAGGACAGCCAGGGCTACACAGAGAAATCCTGTCGTTAAACCACTAAAATGAAATAAAGAATAAGGTGGTTCAGTGTTAGTGACACATGTCTTTAATCCAAGCACTTGGGAGGCAGAGGCAGGCAGATCTCTGTGAGTTTGAGACCAGCCTGATCTGCAGAGTGAGTTCCAGGACAGGCTCCAAAGCCACAGAGAAACCCTGTCTCGAAAAACAAAACAAAACAACAACAACAAAAAGATTAAGGTGGTGGGAACTGGAGATATGGCTATGTGGGTAAGAGCATTTTGCTACTCTTGCAGAGGACTTGAATTCAGTTCCCAGTACCTACTTGGAGGCTCAGAACCATCTCTAACTTAAATTCCAGAGGATCCAACACTTTCTGACCCAGTGGACACCGAATGCATGAGGTACAGAGACATACATGGAGGCCAGTAATCATACACAGAACAATAAAATAATTTTTAAAAAGGTAGAACTGTGCATGGTGGTTCTTGGGAGGCAGAAGCAAATGGATCTCTTTGAAGAATCCAAGGCCAGCCTGGACTGCATAGTGAGTTTCAAGTCAGTCAAGGCTACAGGGACTTTGCCTAAAATAAATAAATGTGGAAAATAATAGAGGAAGACACCAGTGCAGTGTCATTCTCCAGTCTCTATGTGCACATATGTTCATGTGCACCTAACACACACACACATGCATACACACTCACATGCATACACACATGCATACACATGCACACATACATACACACACACATGCACACATACACACACACACACACACACACCTGAATCTAGTTTAGGGACACAACTCAGAAGTAGGACTCTTGCCTAACATGAACAAGCCCATGACTTCCATTCCCAACATTACATAGAACAAGTTTTTTGTGGGTTTTGTTGTTGTTTTGGTTTGTTTGTTTTCAAGACAGGGTTTCCCTGGCTGTCCTAGAACTTGCTCTGTAGACAAGGCTGGCCTGGAAGTCATGGAGATCTGCTGTCTCTTCCTCCTGAGTCCTGGGATTAAAAGTGTGCACCACCACAGGACGCTCTGAGGTTAGGGAGGAGGCAGTGGACAGAGAATCTCTATTGTTTCCCCAGGGAGCCGGCATCTACCCTTGAGCGCTTGCTGTCACTGGCTTGTTTTGTCTATAGTGTCCACTGTCTCTCCAGGTCATTCTTACAGCATGTCTCCATGGAACCAAATGTAGCCAGTGCCCCACCTTGCCCCAAAGGATTCTGGGATCTTGGTCCCATTTGATTCAATCCAGACTCATGGAGCGCGAAAAGGTCAATATTTAAAAGCATCACTGGCCTGTTTGGGGCAGTGCAGCCCCAAGCTGGGTCCCCACCACATCTGCCACAGGGGATGACCTAGGCTTCCCTGCTCTAGATTTTGTAGAAATGGTCTGGTCACAAAGTGTCCCCCACGCCGGGCGTTGGTGGCGCACGCCTTTAATCCCAGCACTCGGGAGGCAGAGGCAGGCGGATCTCTGTGAGTTCCAGACCAGCCTGATCTACCGAGCAAGTTCCAGGACAGCCTCCAAAACAATACAGAGAAACCCTGTCTCGAAAAACAAAAACAAGCAAACAAACAAAAAAACCAAAGTGTCCCCTATGACCTACTGGACATGATTAGCTGCTGGTCATATGGTGCTTCTTGGCATCTGCAGCTTCTGAAACCCGGGCTCCAGACACACCGGAGTCCACAGGCTGGGGGGCTGGTGGAAGCTGAGCCCTGGAAGTCACATGGTATTGAGTAGGCTGTGGCCAGGTTTGGAGAGGGAGACAGAATAGGTTGGGTGAGAGGGAGGACAGGTTGTGTGGAAGGGCCTTGCTTCACGCTAGGGCCACACAGACCTTTATATGAGGGCTTGCCCCCCCCCCCCGCCCTTTTCAGTCAGACTCTATTTATGTAGCCCAGGCTGGTTTGAACTCATAATCCTCCCATCTTAGTGCTGGCATTGCAAGTGTGAATCACCAGGGCTGGTTGATTGATTGATTGATTGATTGATTGATTGATTGATTGATTGGTTTTTCCAGACAGGGTTTCACTGTGGCTTTGGAGGCTGTCCTGAAACTCACTCTTGTAGACCAGGCTGGTCTCGAACTCACAGAGGTCCTCCTGCCTCTGCCTCCCGAGTGCTGGGATTAAAGGCGTGTGCCACCACTGCCTGGCCAATTTATTTATTCTTAATTATATTAAATATTATTCTACCAATTTAACATTTGTAAGGTTCTATTTAATGTTTTCTATTGGGTTTTTGTACTCATGATGAATTTCACCTGGTGCAATTTTTTTCATATCCCCTAGGGGGTGGCTGTGGTTATCATGACAGTTTTATAGGTGATGCAATTGAGGCCAAGTCACCTAGCCAAGGTCTTGGTCACACCTCTGCCTCCTTTTCATAGACAGGTCCAGAGAGAGGGGAAGCCACGCAGTGAGGTCGTTCAGCTGGGACAGAACTCAGGTCTGTTATAGGAGAGACTGACACTCACTAGGCAGGAAATCAGAGCTGGGAACTGACATGGTCACGTGAGCAGGGGGGATGGGGCTAAGGGTGAAAGCAAGAATTAGGTGCCATGTCAGCCGGGGTTCGTGCTGGGTGGGGCCTTTGGAAGTGCAGGGCTTGGGTTGAGAGTTTGCTGCCTCCTTCTTGCCATGCTGTCCCCTGGGTAGCCGAGGCGCCAGGCCGGGCTGTGGATCTGACACCTCCCGGCTGCCTGGCTTTGATCAGAATCTGGCTATGGGCAGGTGTGAAACTGAATCCTGACTGACGGGCCCTCTTTGGCCTGGATGTGGCTGCAGACCTCCAGCCCTTCCTTGGCACAGCCTGGCTTCGCTCGTGGTGGCTTTCTTGAATTCTAGAACACTTCTGCCCACCCAGGGCACTGCCTGGGCTACAGCCGCTGTCCCGGTCGCTGGGCTCCAGGGTCCCCAGGGAGACTCCCACCAGGCCGGGCTCTCAGGTGAGCCGCCAGGATCGGGTTCCTCTGGTTTCATGTCGTGCATTGTTCTTGGCTGGGCCCCGGCTTATGAAACAGTAATGAGGGGCCCTGCTCCTGAGGCTGGTCCCTCTAAGGTTTCTGCTGCCTGGAGCACTGCAGCCACCCCGGCCCAGAGTCAGGGCCTGGGAGGGCGGCAGTGTGGGGGCCTGAACCAGAGCCCCCCGGGAACGAGGGTGCTGACAGCCGCCAGCTGCCGCTGCCGGAGCCCGATGCCCAGGTAACCCGAGAGGAGGCGGGGCACAAGGTGCCATGGCCCTGTCTCCCACCACCAAGGGAGGGCCCTGCCATTCCGGGAGGTGGAGGGAATGGGGGGGGGCCTTCTATGAGGGGAGCAGCTGTTCCTTCTGCCTGAGCCCAATGTCAGCCTTTCCAGGTGTGACCTTGCTGTGGACAGGGCGAGGGCACACCTTTAGCCTGGGGGCTGCGACCCTCCTCTTTGGGGTCCCTGCCTCTCCTGTAGTGGAACTGAGCCCTTCATTTCTTCCAGACCTTACGGCCCCTCCACCTTCAGACCTCCTCCATTCGGGCCAGGCCAGTCCTCTCCTTCCCTCTTGCTTTCTGGATGCAAGGGTGCTCTGGGACCCTTGGGTGCAGTTCCTGTTCTCAGCATGCGCACACACATTTGTGTTTACATAATCCTGGACACATACGCACCAGTGTAGCTGACAGGCCTGCTATACACGTGCACCTGGGTACATATCGCTCAATAATGATGTACACACGGGTGCCCCAAAACACAGGTCACGCGAGCGCGCGCGCACACACACACACACACACACACACACACACACACACCATTGTGCACATGTGTGCATATGTACTCCAGGCACCCTGCTGACTCTGACAACAGTCCCCAGGGCACTGCCAGCTGATGGACTGACTGGTCTCCTTGAGCAGGGAGGATCCCAGGAGATGACTTCTGGAGACACTCACCAGTCTGAGCTGGGAGGGGCTGCCGGGGAGGGGGAAGGGAAGTCCCACGTGGGCCTGAGCTGTCTCCTCTCTCCAGTGCGGGCCCAGGAGCCTCCCACCTTCCAGTGCCGACCCGCCTTACTTGGACCTCCCCTGCTGCCCACTGGCCCCTGAGGACCCACCCGGTACCACCCCCTGTGCTGGCCACTCCGTGGAAGGCCTTGGCCTCAGGCAGGGGCCTCAGAGGTGGGTAGAACACCAGGTTCCAGGGACTGACCCCCTGGGGGGGATACCCATACCTTCCCTACATGCCACTCTTCATGATGGCAGTGTCCGTCTACAACAACTGGTGGGGGTCACATGGCCAGCCCACAAAGTCTGGGCACAGAGGGCTCTGATGGTAAATGTATTCCAAGGGTCCTTGGTGGGGGACCCTGGAAAGCTCACACTGGTCCGTTCTTGTTTTACCTGAGTCTCTGACCCTAACCCTGGCTGTCTTTCCTAATGGCTCTGACTATCCCATAGTTCCGTGGAGCAGGGGATAGCCATGTATTTCTCCTGGTTTTAAAAGATTGCAGGAACTGCATGTGGTGGCAGATGGATTAATACCAGCCTCAGGACGTGGAGGCAAGAGGGTTTGGAGCCCAAAGCTGGCTTGGGTTGCATAGCTAGACTCTGTTACTCTGTTCCCTGAAGCCCTGAAGATTGAGTGGTCCCTCAGCAGGGCACCTTCTGTCACCCCACTGGCTGGGTCCCCAGGCTGTGAGATTCCCTCCAGTCCAAGCTTTAATGGACCCCAAGTTCTCTACTGGGGTCATGAGACCTTAGGAGGCCGAGGCTTGAGGGTCCAGAGAGCTGGATCCCAGTGTCACATTTGCTTCGATGACCTTCAGCATGCAAACCCATCTTTTTATGCCTCACTTTTCCTGTTTGTAAAACAAGATGGCCTGAGAATGTAACTCTGTGACAGGCAGTGTGCCTAAGATCCTGGGCTTGATTTCCAATATTGCAGAAATACATTTTAAAAGAGAGAAGCTGGACCAAATCCTCGTTGTTTGAGGGCATATGTTCCCCTCAGGCGGCCATTATTTTAGGAGAAAAAGAAAAAGGAGGCTCTGACGGTCAATGTATCTCAGGAAGCCTAGGACGGATTACAAGGAATCTTTCCTGTAGGACTTGTGGGAGCATTTGATTTGCAAGCCTGCATTGTGTGGTTTAAACATGAAGCCTGGATGTGTGTAGAATGTTCTGTATTTCTGTAACTATAGACTTCATTTATAGCATCATCGCTCCTTACTATTTTATAGGCCCGTGTGTGGGTCGCTTTGGGATGCCGTGAGCTGTAAGCCTCTTGAGTGGGGGTCATAGGGACTGCTTCTGTAAAAGCACTCATTTCCATAGATCCCTTGGAACTCGCTCCTCTACACTGCTTAACACCCTTCATCAGCCAACCCGGCCCAGTGTTCCCATTCCTGCTCACTGAAGGGGGCTGGGGCTCTTCCCTTTTCCAGGGCTGAAGCCGTGGCCAGGCTCTCGAGCCCTCAGAACCTGGGTTTCTTCATCTATATGGTGGAACCCTCTCCCTTGGTAGGCTGCTATAGCTCTAGGAGCTGGCCCCCAGAGGGCCCTGCCCAAATGCCCTCAGCCCTGGCTTCTTGTTCTGTTGCTGCAGACCCTGGCATGGTGTGAACACACCCACATGCACCTGGGGGGCAGGGGGGCAGGCAGGACTGAGTCTTTGACTCTGTTACCTTTTAGGGGAAAATAATTGGTTTCTTTTCTCTCCTAGGGACTCGTCTCCAACAGCAGCTCTCCCTGCAGAGGGTCCTGTAACTGCCCCAAGGAACAGGCACCAGGACCCTGAGGTGGTACCCTATCTGGAGGAACCCATCTCTGACACCGACTCCAGCCAGGACAGCAATACCCCTCATGATACCAGCAATTCTTTCTCTGTGGTGAGCTGAGGGCCAGGGTCTGGGAACAAGAACAGGGTCATCCCAGTGTCCTCAGCCCTGGAGATAAGAGTTCTAAATCTCCAGAGGAGGGCTGAGCCCCTCACAGCAGAACGCTGGGCCGAGCTTGGCCGTGGCTTTCCCTGATGGGAAGGGAGGGTGGGTGGTAGTGTGGGCAGGTGGAGGGAGGCGTTTCAGTCCACCAGGGACTGTGGATGAGTCACCAGCTGGCTCAGGTCTCAGGGCTGGGAAGTAGGCATGGTATTCAGAGTAAGCAGAGTCTGGGCCCAGCTCTACCCTGGACACATGCTGCTGAGACCATGACCAGTCCTGGTGCTGATTTCCAAAGGCAGAGGGAAAGGAACAGGCTCGGGAGTTGGTAGGAGCTGACAGGAGAAAGGAGCCAAGGTGCTGCCCCAAGCCTTCATACTTTCAGACCTGTCCCTTTAGGCCCCCCTCCCCCAAAAGGGAATGGCAGGAGAGAATGGGCTCCACATAAGCAGCCTACCTGTTCACACATGTGGTGGGTACCATGCAAAGGTCTCCGTGGGCCTGAGCTCAGCAAGGCCCTCCACCACCCTCTGTGTTAGAGACTTCTGTGCCCTGTTAGGGACTGAGGCCCAGAGCAGGGAAATAACTCACTTGAGACCACACAACTAGGAAGCAGTGGCCTGGGATTTGAACCCATTTCTTCCATCTGTAACTTTGGCCCAGATTTTTATTTCAATGGTTGTGCATCTTTTTCAAGGCTGACAAAAGGTTTGCTGAGTTATCACTGGCTGAGAGCATCACTCAGGCAGCAAGTGCCCTTAGAAAAACCTGTTTTTCTACCCTTCATGCTGGGATACAGGTCTAGGGCCCTCTTCTCCCCAACAAGCTTTCTCCTCTCCCAGCAGGATTGGGACTCTGCTGAGAGGCCAGGGGTGGTCCCCAACGGGGACAGACTCAACGTGATGATCCCGAGGAGGCCTCAGGAGGGGCTGAGAGCTGACAGTGCCCGAAGGGTCCCCAGATCCCCAGCCAGAGGAGACCCAGCAGGCCAGAGAAAGGAGGGTGAGTGCTTCTAGGGTGGTCTCATGGCCACGGAGTGGTCATGGCCTGGGGCCCGCCCACAACCAGCCATCTCACTGGCTCAGCTCCCTTTGAGGGGCAGAATCTCCCTTTTAAAAAATTCATTTTATGTGCATTGGTGTTTTGCCTGTACATATGTCTGTGTGAGAGTGTCAGGTCCCTGGAACTGGAGTTACAGACAGTTGTGAGCTGCCATGTGGGTGCTGGGAATTGAACCCGGGTCCTCTAAAAGAGCAGTCAGTGCTTTTAATCACTGAGTTGTCTTTCCAGCCCTGAGGGCCTGAATCTTTTTTTTTTTTTTTTTTTTCCTGAGACAGGGTTTCTCTGTGTGTAGCTCTGGCTGTCCTGAAACTCTCTCTGTAGACCGGGCTGGTCTCAAACTCAGAGATCCACCTGCGTCTGCCTCCTGAGTGCTGGCATTGTGTGCCACCACCGCCCGGTGAATCTCAATAACAGCAGTTCTTATAACATGTGCCGTGCTGCCCAACTTAAGGATGCTTTCCCTCTGTTGAAAGATTAGGGTCTCAGCCAGGCATTGGTGGCGCACACCTTTAATCCCAGCACTTGGGAGGCAGAGGCAGGTGGATCTCTGTGAGTTCGAGGCCAGCCTGGTCTACAGAGTGAGTTCCAGGACAGCCTCCAAAGCCACAAAGAAACCTTGTCTCAAAAAACCAAAAAAAAGAGAAAGATTAGGGTCTCTGGTCTCTAAGTTCTAAGAGGTTGAAACTGGCTGAACCCAAGTGGAACACCTGCATAAATAGAATGGTAAGGGCGGGGCTTCAGGGATGGCTGCACCCCACTGATCAGACAGTACCCAAGTGTCTTCCCCATTCTGCCTTCTGCTGAAGTGGTTCCATTCTTACTCAAACACTTGTGTAATGATAGCATGATGGCCACCAAAGGGGCCAGCTTGTGTCCCACAGAAGAAGGGCACATCTTTCCTGTGACTACAGTCTCAGAAAGGGTTCCCACAGGAGAAGGGCACATCTTTCCTGTGACTACAGTCACGTCTCAGAAAGGGTTCCCACAGCGACCACTGGGGGTTGGTCATCTTAATCACTAAGTCTGGCCTCCTATGAAAACCTCATGGCCTGAGTTTGGAGGAGGGGGAGTCCCCAGAGGAAGTCAGGGTGCCGTTCTGAGAAAGAGAGACAGAGAGAGATGGTGAGGGGACTTCTGTTATGCCAAGTTCATGGAGGTTGGTGAGGTTGGCCAGCATCTTCCTGGGGTATGAGTTCAGTGTGGTGGGCACACATTCTGGCTCTGGTTTCTCCTTCAGGGTGGTCAGGAGTTGGGACTAGGATGCCATAATGCCCTCCCTCCTTCTTCTCTGATGGCAGTCCTGGTTTCCATGGTCCTTGCAGGAGTCTCATGAGTCTGCATGTGTGAAGTTTGGGTGAGGTTATCCTGGGGTCCCAGGGGGAGTTAGCACTGACCCTTGCCCTACAGAGATCAGCACCTCACAAGGCAGACAGGACAGAGGACGAGCAGACACAGGCATGAGGGAGGGATGGGGTCTTTTGTTTTGTTTTGTCTTTGTTACTGTTTTTCAAGACTAGGTTTCTCTGTGTAGACCAGGCTGTCCTGGGACTCCCTTTGTAGACCAGGCTAGCCTTGAACTCAGAGATCCGTCTGCCTCTGCCTCCTGAGTTTTGGGATTAAAGGCGTGCGCCACCAACGCCCAGCTATGGAGGGTCATTTTTATTCAAGCCACCAAAGATGGGTACAGGGCTGGCACCGGAGAGGAGGGCTGTTTGTATGGAGGAGAGCAGGGCAGGGAGACAGGCCGATGCGGCCAGTTAGCAGCCGCAGCTTAGAAGTGGATGGGTGCACAACAGGGCTGGGCTGGGCTGGGCCTCTTCAGCCTTGCCAAGGAGTTGGGATTCTTTTCTCTTAAGCATGGTTTGGGCAGGGCATGAGGAGTGATGCCATTGAACCTGTGCCTTGGCATGGTCCTGGGTGCGAAGTCAGACTGCATTGGGGCAGTGTGAGGCAGGAGGATAAGTCAAATGAGTCACCTAGTAGCACCTGGCTCGCCCAGGGTTGCCGCTGGCTGATGCCGAATCCTAGGGCAAGAGGTTTCCCACCAACTGGATGATCAGAGTACTTAACTCACAGTGTTCCTTAGACCACGCTTGACCTGCAGGGGAAAGCTCCCTGAGGCCAGGGAGCTTTGCAGATGCTGCAGCAGTGTCTCCGTGTGCTGCCTGGGGACAGGATAGAACATAACACCAATCACTTCCCTTGCAAATCCTGATGCTAAAATGCTCCGGCTGGGTGTGGCGGTGCGTGCCTGTGATCCTGGCTCAAGTGAACTAAGGCTGCTCTGGAATTCCTAGTCCTTCTGTCTCTGCCTCCTCTGTGCTGGGATTACAGACAGGCCCCCCACACAGCCAGGCTTTGCTTTCTTGCTCTTGAAAGTCCCTGGGCAGTGGGTGGTATCCTCTCTGTGACCTATTTAAGTCAGAATCTGTGACCACTGGCCCCCTGGTGGCCATTTGCAATATTGCATCCAGGGACTGAGCCTCCACTAGGCACATCCCAGGCTGTACGCCTCACTGGGGGCACTGGTCACAGGTTGCCCAAGCACAGCTGTGTACCTGTCTTGCATGGAAGCCTTATCCCGTGAGAGCCAGGCTCCTAGGGCATCTACACCAATATAGCACAAAGGGTAAGGCAGCTGCAGGCAAAGTTGGGAGCACTGTGTGTACTGAACACCTACTGTGTGCTGCATACCTCTGCAAATTCCAGAGGCACCATGGGAATGCAAGGCCCTATCACACAGAGAGGGGAGGAGCAGGTAATCAAGGGTTAGGCATGAGGAAGGTACATGGAAGGCAGCCCATGGCCAGGAAATGTAAGTAGCAGAAGGACACTGTCTGCTTCCGACAGAGGCACCAGCACCAGCAACGGCCCTGTGGGGTGAGCCTCCTATGTTGTCTTGGAGGACCTCAAAGGGTGGGTGTTGGACCCTGGCAAGTGGGTGAGGGTAGAATGGGGAGCGAGACAATCCTTGAAAGAGCCAGCAGGAAGCCCCTAGAGGCTATTTTCTTTCTTTTCAATTTGAAATAATCTTAGATTTGCCAAAATGGCAGTTATAGTGGCTATTGGACTCTTTGCCCAGGTACCCCTGATGTTAGCTTCACATTCAACCATATGCAGAGGCTGGAGTTAAAGAACTAACATTATCTCAGCAGCACTCTGTGAGTTTGAGGCCAACCTACCTGGTCTACAAAGCGAGTTCCAGGACAGCCAGGGCTACACAGAGAAACCGTGTCTCAAAAATCCAAAATAAATAAATAGATAAATAGACATTGGTCAGGGCTGGGATGTGTCTCAGAACTTGCCTAGCAGTGTGAGGCCTTAGGCTCCAGCCCCAGAAACAAAAAAGAATATTAACACAATTGTAGACTATAGATTTTAACACAACAATTGTAGACTATAGATTAATCATATTTACTGCTTTTCCTTCTATGGTCCCTTTGGCTTTGTTTGTCTCTTATAAGATCTTGTGGGGCTGGAGAGATGGCTCAGAGGTTAAGAGCACTGGCTGCTCTTCCAGAGGACCTGAGTTCAATTCCCAGCAATCACATGGTGGCTCACAACCATCTGTAATGAGACCTGATGCCCTCTTCTGGCCTGTGGACATACATGCAGACAGAACACTGGATGCATAATAAATAAATAAATCCTAAAAGAAAATTAAAAAAATAAGATCTTGTTATTGTTGTGCCGGGTGGTGACGGTGCACACCTTTAATCCCAGTACTCGGGAGGCAGAGGCAGGCAGATCTCTGTGAGTTCGAGACCAGCTTGGTCTATAAGAGCGAGTTCCAGAACAGCCTCCAAAGCCACAGAGAAACCCTGTCTCCAAAAACCAAAAAAAAAAAAAAAAAAAAAAAAAAAAAAAGATCTTGTTATGTTGTAGCCCTGGCGGGCTTCAAACTCTGGAGCCCTGGGTAGCCTCAACCTTGTGGCAATCCTCCAGCATCCTCCATCTCCCAGGTTAGTGTTAGGGTTACAGTCGCCACCAGTCCCCAGCTCTTTCCGTCCTGGAACATAATGCAGGATCCCTCACTGCATTAGTCACCTGGTCCTTCCTCCTATGGCAGTTCCCTGGCCATTCCTTCCTTACCTGCCTTCCACACAAGGGTTGTGAGCAGGGACACTGACTCCTGGCAGAGTGTACCCATGCTGAGGGAGAGGGCTACTGGGATTATCCAAGCAAAAATGACAGTGACCTTGGGTGGGGGCCGGAGATGACAGAAGCAGGTGGATTTAGAGGACATTTTAGGGGCCCCCAGGGCCACTCCAGTGCTGAGAGCTCAGTCTTCAGGGACACCAACTATCAGTGTAGCAAGACCGGAGGGGACAGGGGTTGTGTGAAAGGAGAAGTGTCCTCATGAAGGCAGCCTCGGCTTACTACTTCAAGAGGAGGGACAGGGCTCACACTGCTGGTGGCTAAGGGACTGAGAAGGGTGAAGGTTGACCCCCAGTTCATGGCAGCCAGGAGTTGGGACACAGTCACTGTTGAGGACAGCTCCTTCATCCCCGGGACCAGCACCCGTGATGCCCGTGAGGTGCCTAAAGGGTTAGTTGCTTTGTAGCTGACAGAAGAAACTGAAGGAGGGAAGTACGAAGCTGCAGTCTAACACGGCAGGGGAGGCGTGGTGGCAGGCGTGGGATTGGTGGCCGGTCACAGTGGGTCTCAGTCAGGCAACGGTTCCCAACCTTGAATACCGTTCCTCATGCAGTGACCCCAAACCATGAAATTATTTTCATTGCTAGTTCATAACTACTGCTATGAGTCATAATGTATGTATCTGTGTTTTCCTATAGTCTTAGGCGACGCCTGTAAGAGGGCCATTTGACCCTCCAGGGGTCACGACCCACAGGTTGAGAGACACTGACCTAAGTGAATGCTGGTGCCCAATGCAGGCTCCCCCGCCCCATGTGTCCTCTCTTTTTTAGAAACTAATTTATTTATTCCTGCGTGGGTGTGAGTTCATATACGTACATGTGCACATGGGTACTGAGCTCAGACTCACATCATCAGGCTCAGCTGAAGCACACTCCCCTGCTGAGCCAAGTACACTCCCCTGCTCAGCTGCAGCACACTCCCCTGCTCAGCCGGCTCACTGGTCCCTGCTTGCTTTCTCGTTTTTTGTTCACTTGGGGATCCCAGCACAGGGGGTAAAGTTGCCCACACTTCAGCTGGGCCTTCTTCAATTAACCCAGTCTAGAAACCCCCATAGATGTGTCCCCCGGGTGAGCGTATCCCGTTGACGATGTTGACTGTCACATGCAGTAGTCTGGTTAGGTGCTGATTCTGCTCTGTGCAGATACACAGGTGCCCACTCACCAACAACTGCCATATCTGTGCACATTTCCAGCGCCTGGGATGAGCCTTGGAGCAGGAGGGGTAGGAAGAGTCTTCAGGTGTAGGTATAGGCATGGCCACTATGCCCTGGCACCCACCAAAGGGTTTCTTACAAGTTGGGATGGTTTCTGGGCATTCCACCCAGGGAGTAGAAATGAGCAGCTCCTGGTCCATCTCCCCCTCTCCGCACTCCAAAGCGCTGATCTCCTTGGATCTATCCATGACCTTCTCGCTCTGGCATCACTCCGCCAGTCATTGTGAATGCCTGGCCTGGCAGCAGCCGGGAGCCTAAGCCTGTCTCAGCCTGAGTGGGAAGGGTGCACCTCTTTGATTAGACACTGAAACCTATTAGCAGCAGGCTGGTGGATGCCATGATTTTTCTGTCCTTCCTGGATCCCTCTCCTCACTTTAAACTTCCTCATTTCTCTCCAGACTCCAGCAGTGGTGGACAGAGTGCTGGCCAGCACTGGGCAAAGCTTCGGGCAGAAAGTGGCTACTTCTCCTTGGAACGACATCGCTCAGGGCAAAACCAGGCTTCCTCCGGGACACCACCTAGTGGACCTCGGGCCACCACCCAGGCTTCTTCTGCTCAAAGGGCTGCTTTCCAGGATGCTTCTGCACAAGAAACCTCCCAAGCTTCCTCTATATCCCAAAACACCCAAAGGGACACCCCCAGAACCTTAGCCACACAGCGGAGTAGCCCCAGAATGTCCTCTCCTTCAAGAGTGTCCCAGAGGGACACTCCTAGAACCATGTCCACCCAGCAAAGCAGCACCCCACTTTCCTCTCCCCTCAGAGCCACTCAAGGGAGCCTCAAGACCTGCACACCACAAAATGGCCCCCACGATGCATCGTCTCTTTGTGTCCAAGCCTCCTCTCCCAACAGAACCACCCAGAGGGACAACCCCAGGAACACCTCTCCCAACAGAACCACCCAGAGGGACAACCCCAGGAACTCCTCTCCCAACAGAACCACCCAGAGGGACAACCCCAGGAACTCCTCTCCCAACAGAACCACCCAGAGGGACAACCCCAGGACTCCCTGTGCCCAAAGGGACAACCCAAGGACTCCCTGTGCCCAAAGGGACAACCCAAGGACTCCCTGTGCCCAGAGGGACAACCCAAGGACTCCCTGTGCCCAGAGGGACAACCCCAGGAGCTCCTCTCCCAGCAGAATCGCTCAGAGGGACAACCCAAGGACTCCCTGTGCACAGAGGGACAATCCCAGGAGCTCCTCTCCCAGCAGAAGTACCAAGCAGGACAACCCCAGGACTCCCTGTACCCAGAGGGACAATCCCAGGAGCTCCTCTCCCAGCAGAAGTACCAAGCAGAACAACCCCAGGACTCCCTGTACCCAGAGGGACAATCCCAGGAGCTCCTCTCCCAACAGAACTACCCAGAAGGACAACTCCAGAACTTCCTGCAGACTACAGAACACCCCCAGGACTCCTCCTACCCAAGGAGACAAGACTACAGCCTCCTGTAGCAAATGGGAGCATCTCCGAAGCGCTTGCACCCAACAAGACAACCCAAGACCACCATCTTCCTTCCAACAAGACAACTCCGGGGCTTTCTCTCAAGGCTGCACCCAAAAGGACAACCCAGGACCATTATCTTCCCGCCATGCCACTCCGGGGAGTAGCTCCAGGAACCCTTCTCCCCACCGTACCAACAAAGATATCCCTTGGGCCTCCTTTCCCCTTCGGCCAACCCAAAGTAGTGCTCCTCGAACCTCATCTCCATCTCGCACCAAACAAAACCAGGTGCCTTGGGCATCCATTTCTCTCCGGCCAACCCAAGGGGACAGGCCTCAGACCTCAGCTCCTACCAGACTCGCCCATCACGCCCCTCCCCAGCACTCCTCGCCCTCCCTGGCCTCCTCCTCTTCTCGTAACCCCGGCCATGCGGGTGCCTCTCGGACTTCACCGCCTCTGCACCCCGCACCACGAGGGGTTCCCCAGACCTCTTCAGAGTCCTCCCAGCCGTCATGCGCTGTGTGTATCGGGCACAGGGACGCACCTCGTGCCTCTTCACCCCCTCGCTGTTTTCAGTACGACCCTTTCCCCTTTTTTCCAGATCCCCGCTCGTCTGAGAGCGAGTCGCCCCACCACGAACCCCCCTACATGCCACCTGCAGTGTGCATTGGGCACCGCGATGCCCCCCGGGCCACTTCACCCCCTCGTCATACCCAGTTTGATCCCTTTCCCTTCCTCCCCGACACATCAGATGCTGAGAACGAGGCCCCGCAGCATGAACCCCCACAGTTTCCCCCACCAGTGTGCATTGGGTACCGCGATGCCCCCCGGGCCTCCTCCCCACCACGCCAGTTTCCCGAGCCCTCTTTCTTCCAGGATCTCCCCCGGGCCAGCACAGAGAGCCTTGTCCCTTCCACAGACTCTCTGCATGAGCCTCCCCACATCCCCCCTCCTGTATGTATTGGGCACAGAGACGCTCCCTCCTTTTCTTCCCCACCACGCCAGGCCCCCGAGCCTTCCCTCTACTTCCAGGATCCTCCTGGGACCAGTATGGAGAGTCTTGCCCCTTCCATCGACTCTCTGCACGGCTCTCCACTGCTGCCCCCTCAAGTATGCATCGGCCATCGGGATGCACCCAGGGCCTCCTCTCCTCCCCGCCACCCACCCAGTGATTTAGGTCTCCTGGCTCCCTCCCCTCCCCCAGGTAGCTCAGGCTCTCGGGGCTCAGCACCCCCAGGGGAAAGCAGACACAACTTGGAGAGGGAGGAGTACACCATGCTGGCCGACCTGCCCCCACCCAGAAGGCTGACCCAGAGGGGGCCAGAGCCCCAAGCACAGGGCAGCAACGAGGGCCGTACCCGCAGCCCTGGCCGGGCAGAGGTGGAGCGCCTCTTCGGGCAAGAGCGCAGGTGAGCCAGGGCAGGGGCAGCCAGATGGGCAGGGGAGGAGAACAGCTGGAAAGTTCCAGAAGCATGGATTCAAGCCCTGCTGCCCACTGTCTGTGCGGTCTTGGGCAAGCCACTGTATCTCTCTGTCTGTATATTAGGGTGTTTTTTACTGAGGCTGAAGTAATGCTATGGGTAGCCAAGTAGTGAAAAAAAAAATCTGGTGTCTGGCAGGCTAAATCTGGGGTCAAAGCTACCCTGTATCTGTGATACCTGCTTAAAGCAATTTAATCTACTTGGGCCTCAGTTTCTTCGCCTGTCAAATGGGAAGACTAAAAGCACATTGATTTATTTCAGTGAGGCTTAACTCTTGAAGGGTTTGATCCAGAGTAATGTTTCTTCCCTGTACCCATGACTTTTTTCCTGTACATTGCAGGAAGACAGACACGCTAGTTTTACATATATGGCCAGCGGCTGGGGATTTAGCTCAGTGGTGGAATACTTGGCAACACACACAGGCCCTGGGTTTGAACCACAGAACTAAGTAGATAAGTGCCCTGGCTTTCATTCCTCTGGGCACTGGGGATGGATCCCAAGATGTGCACCTGCCAAGGAAATACTCTGCCTCATCCCAGAGCTTTCTGAGAGCTCCTAGTGTCACGGACAGAAGCTAGGCATTACTTTCCTGGGACACAGCCACAGAGTCCCAAGTCCTAGTGTCCTGTGGATGTCCTGGGAACCAGTAGTATGTCACACGGGAGAGGAAAACATCCCTTTCTGCTCTGGCTGGGATTTCTCTCCTCAGCAGAGCTAGCCTCCGAGGTTTTGGAGATGCCGTTCCACTAATTAGAGACAAGAGAAATGGGGGAAGGGGAGTGTCTAGAAATCTGGAAACTTCCCCTGTATTATCTGGTGGGTTTTAGTATCTGACTGAGTGGGACAGTCCTCACCATGACGTAAATCTAGAGCATTTCCAAAACCCTGCCCCTGCTTTTTCTTTTGGTTTTTCAAGACAGGGTTTCTGTGTAGCCTTGGCTGTCTGCAACTTGCTGTGTAGACCAGACTGCCTGTGAAACCACAGATCTGCCTGCCTCTGCCTCCCAAGTGCTGGGTTTAAAGGCGTGTGCCACTGCCTGCCTCCAGCACTGTGAGATTCTTCTCTTCACTGCCCCTGAGGAGGCAACATTTCTGTAAGATCTGAATTTGAATGAGAACCTTCCTTCCTTCCTTCCTTCCTTCCTTCCTTTCCTTTCCTTTCCTTTTTCCTTTGCTTTTGTGTTTGTTTTTTGAAGACAAGATTTATCTGTATAACACCCCTGTCTTGGAACTCACTCAGTAGACCACACTGACCTGGATCACCGAAATCCCCTTGCCTTTGCCTCCCTGCTGGGACTAAAGATATGCGCCACTGCCCAAAGAGAAGTCTTGTTTCTTATTCAAATGCCCATTCCAGTAAACTGGATCCATTCACTAGCCAAGAGAGAACCTTCATTGACCCTCACACTTTGGTCTTTACAAAGAAAGGAAAACCACTTTGGAGGGAGGAATGGGTTCGAGACAGGGTCTCATCGCAGCCCAGATTGAAACTGAAGTCACTGAGCAGCTGAGGACCTTAAACCCCAGATCTCCCTGCCTTCCTCTCCCAAGTGCTGTGTTGAGGATGCCCAACCATGCTGGGTCTGCAACATAACTCATAAGTATTGTCTCTTGTAGTTGCTCATTTGTGAAATAGGGTAGCCCAGGTTGGCCTTGGACTTCAGGTTCTCCTGACTCAGGCTCCTGAGTGCTGGGATTGCAGGCCCACAGCACCACACTGGACTCTCACAGTTGCTTCTGTCCACGCTGCTCCCCATCCTAGTGTATTGTCTTCCCATCTGTTTTATAACTTTGGGGTACTTTCCCTGTTTCCAGGTGGAATACCATTTGCCCTCTGAGGACGGTATGCGTTTGCATCCGAGGCAGAGCTTGTGAGGCTGGGCATGGGGTGGGCTGGGCTGCATTTTCATTGTCTCCCATTTACTCTTCTGACATATTTACTGAGCATCTACTTTGCCCAAGCATTGTTCTGAGCCTGGAACATTTTTCTAGAAGGATCATGTCAAAGACTTAGGCATTTGGTTGGTGTTTTAAGCCATCCCCTGTTGTGGGACCTCTACAATTTCTCCCATCCCCTTAAATGCCTGAATTTTGAAACATTCTTCCTTGGATCTGCTAAACACGGTGTCTTTGTTTTGTTTTTAAAGAGGGTCTCACAATGTAGCCCTAGTTGTCCTGGAACTTGCTATTTAGACCAGGCTAGCCTAGAACTCATAGAGATCCACCTGCCTCTGTCTTCCAGTGGCTGGGGTGAAAGGTGTGCTCCATCCTGCCCTATTGCTTTTTTGACACCATTTGGAGGCCCACACACCCACCTGAGTACCAGAGGAAATTCATTCCCTTGGTCATCCAAGGTGCAGCCGTGTCAACCCTTGGGAGGAAGAGGTGACTCTGGGTAGGTCCCATTCAGAAGAGCTGGGTTCCCACAGAGGGGCTCAGAATCTCCTAGGTGTCTTCAGTGCTGTCTTTCAAAGATTATGAGGGATAAGAGAAGACATATTGGAAGGAATGACTATTGAGCAGCTGGAGTTTGTATGGAAAACACACGTTTGAAAGAAAGAGACCAAACTCTGCTCTTCCCCACTTGGTCCCCATCTTGTTTGGGATATTGAATTTTGGGACTTTCATAGAAACTCCTGGACCTCAGTTCTGGGGGAAATTTGTTCAAAGGCCTCAAATTTGATTAAAAACGGAGCCTTGAAATACTGGTGGTAGTAGTGGCGCACGCCTTTAATCCCAGCACTTGGGAGGCAGATCTCTGAGTTCAAGGCCAGCCTGGTCTACAGAACAAGTTCCAGGATGGCTAGTACTACACAAAGAAACCCTGTCTTGGGCAGGGTGGAGCCTCGTCATGAAACCCTAAAGCTTAGAATCTGGGGACCTTAGGACTGTTAAGGACTCCAACAGCTTCCAGATCTAATTCCTTTTTTTTCTTTTTAAGATTTATTACGTGTACAGTGTTCTGTCTGCATGTATGTCTGCAGGCCAGAAGAGGGCCCAGATCTCATTGTAGATGGTTGTGAGCCACCATGTAGTTGTTGGGAATTGAACTCAGGACCTCTGGAAGAGCAGTCAGTGCTCTTTTTTTGTTTTTGTTTTTTGTTTTTTGTTTTTTCGAGACAGGGTTTCTCTGTAGCTTTGGAGGCTGTCCTGGAACTCACTTTGTAGACCAGGCTGTCCTCGAACTCACAGAGATCCGCCTGCCTCTGCCTCCCGAGTGCTGGGATTAAAGGCGTGCGCCACAAACGCCCGGCTGCAGTCAGTGCTCTTAACCTCTGAGCCATCTCTCCAGCGCCCACATCTAATTCCAATGACAGGACAACAGCAAAGCTGGATACACACTTTCGGTTGGTTTGAGACAGGGTCTCCTGTAGCCTAGGCTGGCCTCCTACTCTCCGTGTAGCCAGTGATGCCCTTGAACACCTGGCCTCCCTTCCCCGCCTCCTGAGCACTGGGATCGCAGGTGTCATCACTACCCATGGTCCGTTCCTTCTGCAAACTTCTGCAGTGTTCTGCGTGGTTCTTCAGCCGTGGGCAGACTTCAGAGAGGCAGCCTCCGCTCTGGGTTCTGCTCAGCTGTCAGTCATGGCCCGCTCATCTGTATGTTCTACTCCCGTTTACCGTGCTGGGTCTTCCACAGGCCTCTCTCCGTGGCCAGTCTAGCCGAGACCCGGTGGTCAGACCCCACAGGAGGTGCCTGTTCGTGGAGGCTGAGGGGGAGACTGTTCTCAGAGTCTATTAGCTTTGTAACAGTGACGCCATGTTGAATGTGACCGTGGCCACTCATTGTTAACCCCCACGAGTATCTGGAACTGAGGATTTTGACACAGGCTGAAGGTGATCTCTGTTGGGTATGGAGACATTTGCTAGTGACCTTTTTGGGATTGTCAGGTTGGAGAGAATGTCTCTTTGCAGCCACCTGGCTAGGAGCTCTTTTGCCCATGGCTAGAAGTCCAGGGTTCTCAGAGCTGAGTCCTGGAGCTCTGTTAACTCCAAGGGGGACACAAAATACAGCTGGCTTAATAAATCCTCAGCTTGGGGCTGGAGAGATGGCTCAGAGGTTAAGAGCACTGACTGCTCTTCCAGAGGTCCTGAGTTCAGTTCCCAGCACCCACATGGTGGCTCACAACCATCTGTAATGAGATCTGGCGCCCTCTTCTGGCCTGCAGGCACACATGCATACAGGAAACTGTATACATAATAAATAAAGAAAAATCTTAAAAAAAAAAAAGAAGTCCTCAGCTTGCATATGGGGAAAGGACAGAAAGAATGGGAGAATGAGGCACCTAATGTTCCCTTGTCCCCAAAGTAGGCTATGCAAGGCTAAGTGGGGCCTGGCACACAAACACTTGGCATCCAGAACATAGGAAGTGCTCAATAAACATTTTCTTAAACATTGTGACTATTTTTTTCTCAGTGCCTGGTAAACAATAGATGCTCAATAAATATGAATTCCCACAAGGACCAGTCCAACCTTTGTCAGGGGTGGCTGGAGGGTAATAGGAAGTGCTGGGTGAGGCCAGAGGGAGCCATGGCAAAGAGCTGCCCCTTCCCACCCTGCTGCCTTCACTCTCCTGTGTCTTCTTCATGGCCTTAGGAGTCAGATTAGATAGTGCTGACTGTCCCCATTTTCCAGAAGGGGAAACTGAGGCCCTGAGAGGGTCATCCTCACTTTGGGTTTTCTCTTCTCAGGGGTGGGCTGGGAATGCTGGGTGCTGGAATGGAGTCCCAAAGGCCCTCTGGAACAGCTACATTTACTTATAGGAAGTCGGAGGCACCAGGGGCCTTCCATGCCCGGGATGAGGGACGGTCACAGCGGCCCAGCCAAGGTCAGAGCCAACTTGGAAGACAGTCCAGCCCCGCCCCCAGCAGGCAGGTGAGCACAGCTAGGTACCAGCCCTCGTGAGTGGTCACCACCTCTCCCCACAGCCTTGGTTCCAGGCAGATGTCCTGGGCAGGGAGGTCCTCTGTGAGAAAGGCAGGGCCCCAGCATGGGATCATACTGCACTCTCTGCAAGGGCCGGAAGCTCTTGGCAAGATGTGGAGGACTCCATATAAGTCCTGTGAAGACAGGCCCCTCAGAGCTGTTCCTATGGAGGCGTCTGCTATCTTGAGATCTCGGGGAGCCTCGGGTGCGTCAGGGACTGCCTCGTCCAGCACAGGGATTGGATCTCAAATGAAACCTAGAGGACAAGCACACCCCAATGGTACAGTTACCATGGTGGAAATTCGGGCACCTGATAGCTTAGGTTGGAAAGACTATCTTAGGGAGGGGAGCCCAGAAAGTGAGCAGCTCTCTTTCTGGAACCGAGAAGATTGTGCGAGAGGAGAGAGCACATGCTAGAGAGCCAGCTGAGGCTTTCTACCTGCTTTGGGCTAGTCATCTAGGAAGGCACGGCCCCACCTCACAGCCCCCCTCATTGTGGGCTTGGCTAAGACAGACCGCGACTACCCAGTGCAGTCTGGAATCTCACCCACACCTTCAACTCATCCACAGGTGACCAAGCCCTCTGCCAAGCAGGCGGAGCCAGCCCACCGGAGCCGAACAGAGGCCCCACGTCCTAAGAGTCCTGAGAAGCGGCCTGAGGGAGACCGGTGGCTCCAGAGGTCCTCAGCACCTGCCAGGACATCAGCCCGGACACCTGAGAGGAAGGCTCAAACAGAGAAACATCTAGAGAGTGGCTGCACCGGCCTGAGGCAGGCCCTGGGAGGGTGGCAGAGTCAGGAAGAGCTGTCGGGACCCCAAAGTCCTAACAAACACCCAGAGAAGAGCTGGGACAGTCAGGAGGAGGGTCCAGGCCTGGGGGGCTGGCCAGAGCTTGGGAGTTCCAGCCTGGAGGGAATATGGAGGGGCCCTCCTCAGGAGCACAGGGAAAGGTGGGGACAGTCAGAGACCTGGGAGCAGCTTTCCTGTAGTGGGCTGCAGGGGGGGCCACCAAGGGGCCAAGGTAGTCTTCAGGAGTTGCCCAGGCCTCACCAGCCTACAACCCCCCCAGACAGCGCCTGGGCAGGCCCAGCAGAATGCTTGTGTGCCCTGCATCCTGAGGCCAGCACTGCCATGGGCTGGAGGGCTGAGGGAGCATCCCCACATCAGTATAGTCCCGAGAAACCACCCGACCTGGACTGGAGGGACCTACTGGGCCTTCTCCGGGCACCCGAGGATGGGGCCTGGGCCCGACTCCCAAGGCTGGACTGGGAAGGCCTGTTGGAGCTCCTGCAGGCTCGGCTGCCCCAGAAGCACCCGGCTGGGCACTTGTGTGACCCAGCCAGGGCTTCAGAACCAGAGCTGGGTTCCCCAGGAACAGAGGACACCCTGAAGACAGAGACGCTGACCCAGCCTGAAGGATGGGCCACGACCACCCAAGCCAATGGTCATAGCCCTGGGCAGCAGTCTGAGAGCCCAGCACAGCTACCCAGCCCTGCCGGTACCTTCACCCAGTGGCCAAAAACCAAAGTGACGAGTGGACCAACATCTTCGCCTCTGGAGCAGACAAACCACCTAGGGAGCCACAGCCCACCAGACCAGGCGGTAAGTCTGTCCCGTATCTGAAGGGTGTCTAGGAAAGTTCCAAACTGTGTGCTCTCCCCCACTCCCCGACAGCATCCGGCAGTGGTGTCACTAGCTCACAGGCAGAGTGCTAGGCCACATGGGCCACACACAGTGAAGAGGCAGTTGCCCCTGTCCTCAGCTTGTGGATGATGAAACTGAGCCCATACTCATTAGAGTTTCCCAGGAGATCCTGCAGGAGTTTTGTGTGATAAATGACAAAGTACCCACTCCGAAGCCCTGCTTACCGCCTCTCCCCACCACCACCCTGTGGCTGTTCTCAGTTAATTACCTAATTCAGCACCAAGGCACCAGGGGTGCCGGGTCAGATGACATCAGCGGAGGGGTGGGGTGGGGTGGGCAATGCTGTGTCCCAGAAGCTGCCAGCTTGTTGTAGTCTGACTTGTCACAGGGGAGGTGGGAGGTCACAGAGACTGGGGTTCCTCTACTTGAGACTAGAGGCTTAAGGTCCCTTGGAGACTAGAAGACGTGACAGGAGGGATGGAGACCCTCTGGCCACTTCAGTAGCTTAGGCAGAGAGAAGAGGCAGCAAAATGGTCACCGGCTAATCACAGTAGCCAAGGTGGATCCAGTGCTGTACCTGGTGATGCCTCCAAGCCCAGAGCATTGCCGGAGAGCAGGGTGGGGCCGCCCTCTGGCTGCAGTTCTATAGAAACACCATGTGTGTCAGTCCAGCATGAAGGGCTTCTCATGGATGACAGAGCAGAGAGCCCACCAGGTCCTACTGGGGCTCCTGGTACATCTCTAATGAAGATCCTTGCCATGGCATTCAAGGCCTTCCTCTTCCTTTCTCCCCACACTTTGCTGTCACTGCACTGGGCTTGCCGGAGGGCTCTGCGCACGTGTCTTTACACTTGCTGTTTCTGGTGCTGAGATGACCCCACCTTCCCTGGTAACCCACCAAGTGTCTGTTCATTGTCTAAGTCCTAGGTCTAGCATTCTGTCCTCCAATACTGACTCCACCCTGGGGCTAGTGACGGTCCCCTTCTGGGCCTCACAGTTTTGCTTCCATCCGTCTGTCACATGGGACCTTCACTTCCCCTTAGAATCATGGGCATTGTCTAGGGATGCGGCTCAGTGGCGGAGCACTTGCGGAGCATGCTCAGAGTCCTGGGTTCAGCCTCCAGCATCATAAAACAAGCAAGCATGAGCTCCGAAGGGGCGGAGGCTGTGATCACTGTATCTCTGGATCTCATAGAGATCTCTGAGCCCAGAGAGGAGATGGTTCAGCTCAGTGGATGACAGACCAGTGAATTCACGGATGCGTCATCGCACACGGGAGAGCGACTGGGTGGGACAGCGGCTGGGTGATGGGTAGGCAGTGGGTGAAGGATGGCTGAATGGGTGACGGTGGGGTTAGGTAAACGGGGTGATGGGTAGTGGTGGCTGTTGGGTGATGGTTGAGCCTATGGTTGGGTGGGCAAACATTAAGTGGAATATGATGGGGGGATATGGACGAATGCATGTTCGATCAGTGATGATGACCGCTGGAAGGATGGAGAGACGGGGTGAATGGATGGGAGGGTACGAGATGGCAGACGGATGGCCAGATGATGACTAAACGCAGGGTGGTTGTAGAATGGGTGATGGACAGTGACGAGCAGTGGGTGATGGGGGTAACATAGGAGATGTGGGGTGGGTTAGGGTTAGGGATTGGCAACACGAACCTAGCGATATTGGGCGTGCAGAAAATAACCGGGCAAACCGGAGGGTAGATGGATGGGTGAATGGTGGGGGATGACCTAGGCTAAGCTGCATTCTTTCTTCTCTTCAGTTCCAGCCGGAGGAGCCTGAGGCGTCAGAACCAAGCAGAGGCGAAGACTCGCTGGCTGACCAGAAGCAGGCTGACTCGGTAGTCGGGGCCTAGACTTGGGCACATGGGGAAGGGGGGAGGAAAGGGAATCAGGCTGGAGGTGGGGTGAGCTCCTCCAAAGAGCTCTGGAGCCGTCTAGACCCAGGCTGGCTCTGCTATGAGGCCTTGAGAAGAGAAACTTAGGGGGAGGTGGTCAGCAGACACCCCCTCATTGTGTGGGGACACGGGTGGGGATGGTACTGGGATCAGAAGCCCTGCTTCGCGCTTACCGGCATACTCTCTTTCCTGAGCAAATGGCAGCTTTACCCCAATAGTTCCTGAGGGCAATGTTCTTTTGGGTCTAGAGGCTGGGCCAGGCTTCCTGGGTGGGGCTGGGCCTTGCTTCCTGGAGCTGGGGTCAGGGGTAGTAAAGTGGGGTAGGGAGGTGCTGCTGCGCCTGTAGGGCCCTAAAGGCTCTCCAGGGTCCTGGAGGGTGGAGCCATATGCAGGGTAGACCAGGGAGCCTGCCTGGAGGCTGGCGGTAGCAGCATAGCTGTGCCCTGCTCTTCTCTGCAACTTGCAAACAGACCTTTCTCACCAGAAACTTCTGAAGGGGTAAGGGCAGAGGCAGAGGCAGAGGGGCAGAGGCAGAGGGGCAGAGGGGCAGAGGCAGAGGCAGAGGCATTCAGCAGGCAGGTAGCATGAGCCAGGAGACTGTTCCCTGTGCTGCTCCCTGAAAAGCCAAGGTGACAAGCCACTTGAGTCTGGCCCTGCAACTGAGCAGAGCTGGGGACAGATGTGTGGTTGGACTCTGGTGTCCTACCCAGGGCCCTTACCAGGCTTTTTCCTTGGGGCCACCAACCAGCTCCCAAATCATGACACAGGGACTTACTAGTTATGAATGCTCGGCCTCGCTTAGGCACGGCTCTGACTAGCTCTTTTAACTTATTAGTTATGAATGCTCGGCCTCGCTTAGGCACGGCTCTGACTAGCTCTTTTAACTTATTAGTTATGAATGCTCGGCCTCGCTTAGGCACGGCTCTGACTAGCTCTTTTAAGTTAGCCTTTTCTCTTTATCTCCCTTTGCCTCCAGGGTTATTGCCTTTGGGGCTTATCGCCTTTCCCACTTCTGTACACCTGGCTCTCACTGCCTCTCTGTGTCTGCCTGGCGGCTGCCTGGCTTCTTACAGGGAAGTGTCCTTTGTTCTCTCCTCCCGTTTCTCTCGTCCTTCCCTTTCTTGAGCCTCGATTTCTCCTCCCATTTATTCTCTCTGCCCACTAGCCTCACCTAGCCCTCTCCTACCTAGTTACTGGCCATTCAGCTCTCAATTAGAACAATCAGGTGCCTCAGGCAGGCGAGGTGGACACAGCTTTACATAATTGACCAAATGCAGCACAAACAAAGGTAACACCCTTCACACAGTTAAAGTGATATTCTGCAACATAAACAAATGCAACACACCCTTGCCTGGTTAAAATAACATTCCACAACAAGGCTCCCTCTGCTCCCAGTCCCTATCCTTGTCCAAACTGCTTCCTGGCTCTGTCCTGTCTGTGTGCCTCTGTCTATTTGGTGGTCAGTCTTCCGATCTGTGAAATGGGGAGGGGACAGAGGACTGCCATCACTAATAGGGGCGCTGACAACTTCACTCTTCCTCTTTTGGGCTGATTTCTTCATGCTTCCTGGAGCCTGGGCTTTGTGAGAAAAGAGGAAATTAGCAATACGGAAAGCCCCCTAGGCCACCTCTACTGAACAGAAGTGTTAACTGCCTCATTCATTTATTCATTCACTCATTCCTACTCAGAGCGCTTTGTGAGCACCTTCTGTGTGGTGGTGTGGGTTGAAGTGAGCCAGAGCAGTGCCATGTGGTGCTCCGGGGAGCACTCCTTTCCTCAGACCACACTCTCAGGTACCTGAGCTTTGATGCTTCAAACTGCACTTGCAGAGACTTGCAGATTCCAGCCAGAGGACAGGGAAGCTCTGCCTCCTCCTCAGCCTGTAGCCTGCTGTGTGGCTTTGGGCCAGTCCCTCTGCTTTGCTGGTGACTCAGCTGCCTCCCAAAGATAACTTTGAGATGGAAGCACTAGGACTCTGCGATAGCATCTGTGTCACATCTGTGACTCATTCCTTTCATGTTAATGCCCCGAAGGCTAGGCAGGCAGCAAAGGTGGTGAGGACAGGAGTTGGTCCCCAGGCGGTCCTGCTGAGAGTACAAAGGACCTGGAGTCTCCACATCTTTCCCACATTTCAAGAGAAATGAGATATATGTATTTAACTTTTAGTTTTGTTTCTGGTTTTTGTTTTTTTTTTGAGACAGGGTTTCTTTGTGTAGTCCTGGCTGTCCTGGAACTCACTCTGTAGACCAGGCTGGCCTCAAACTCAGAAATCCTCCTGCCTCTGCCTCCCAAGTGCTGGGACTAAAGCATGTACCATCACTGCCCTTCTTCTTCTTCTTCTTCTTCTTCTTCTTCTTCTTCTTCTTCTTCTTCTTCTTCTTCTTCTTCTTCTTCTTCTCCTCCTCCTCCTCCTCCTCCTCCTCCTCCTCCTTCTTCTTCTTCTTCAATACTTTTTTTTTAATTTTAAAAAGGTTTATTTGTTTATTATGTATAATGTTCTACCTGCATGTATGCTTGCAGGTCAGAAGAGGGCACCAGATCTCATTACAGATGTTTGTGAGCCACCATGTGGTTGCTGGGATTTGAACTCAGGACCTTTGGAAGAACATTTTTTTTTTAATGTGGTTTTCAATTTGAGCCTCATGAGGCTCAGGTAGGCTTCAAACTTGCTATGTTGCTGAAGCTGGTCTTGAACTCCTGATCCTCCAGAGTCCACTTCTGAAGCGCTGAGATTGCATATACTACCACACCTGGCCCAAATTTCTTGGTTACTAACATGATGGATGTGCACCATGTGAGCTAAATGTCTGTAACCTGTATCCTCTCCTTGGCAGCCTGCAGTTTGACCTAGGCTTTCTAACACAGTCCCAAGGATGCATGGAGTCCTAGGGGCCCTGTTGGTCAAACACTATGCAGTGCGAGCAAGATAACCAATTTTTTCCTTTGTAACTCTGACAGGGGACGTGGGTGGGAGCCCTGGGCCTTTGCAGTAGCAGAAGAGTCAAGGGAGGCTGTGGCCAGGGATGCCCCATCCCACCAAAGGGACCTAAGCCAACACTGGACCCTGTTTGACAGGCAGACAAGAGGCCAGCAGAGGGCAAGGCTGGGAGCCCACTCAAGGGCCGACTGGTGACTTCGTGGCGGATGCCCGGGGACCGGCCAGCGCTGTTCAATCCGTACCTGCTGTCTCTGGGGGTCCTCAGGTGGCAAAGGGTAGGCTGGCTCCTGAGGGGTTGGAGGGGAGAGGGTGGATAGAGAAGGGAAGCAGGGAGGAGGCTGTGGCTAGCCAAGAAGAAGGGGACTGAAAGGGAGGAGTGGGGGAGCATCATGGAAGGCGAGGACACTACCAAGCTCCGTCAGGCTCAGAAGGTGGGCTTTTCCTCTCTGGTGCAGGGCACAGATCCTGAAACTCTGGGTAATCTCCAATCAGCAACTGCTGGCCTGGGCCAGGGAGCCAGGTGGCGGGAGGGGAGATGGAGCCTGAAGGGGCTCTAGATCACACAGTGTCTCAGACCTGGGCCTGGGCCAGTTTCACAAAGATCTGGCCTTACATAACCCATCGCCTGCCCAGAGAGGCCTGTAAACATGGGGCCTCTGGTCGGGGCTTCCTCCAGGGCAAGGAGAGGAGGTAGCTATGACTTGTCCCCTCCTGCCCCTTCACAGCGGGCAAGAAGCGATCAAGGGCTGGCTTTGGGGGTTAAGTGCGTCAGTGACTGGGTGACTCCTGTGCTTTCTTGTTGGTGCTGGGCCCTTGGAGACAGATGCCTGGCTTACAGAGGTGGGCACCGAGGCTCACAGAAAGGAGCCGACAGCCGGGATAGCTCTCACAGGGCTGGTTTTTGCACAGTCCCGAGCGAGAGAGTTCCAAAGGAAGCCAGAGCACTGCATGTCACGTGTGTCACATCTGTCAGCTGGGGTGATTGATGGAGCTGCCCAGATACTGGGAGAGGGGGGCTGCTCAAGCACTGCTTTCCATCTGTGGCATGGATTCCCGCCTGCCATCCCCACAGGGAGGGGCACCCAAGGCAGCCAAGAGGACACCTGGGCAGTGGTCCTTCAAGCCGAGGGCAGGATTTGCCTTATCAAACTAACTACAGGTCACCAGCACACAGCAGGGCTGGGAGGAGCGTAGGGAAGGCCTTGGTGAGAGAAGCGGGAGTTATGACAACAGGTGTCTCTGGACGCCCAGAATGCCCCGGAAGGACAGACCTTTGTACTCTGGACCGCCGTGTCTGTGCACACTCACGGCACTGCCAGCAGCTATTGTGGACCTACTATCCTCCCCAGCCCCACGTCCCATGCGGGGTTGCCTGACTGTGTTTGGTCCTCTTCTCGAGGACCAGTAGGTCCATGTGGCCCACATTCTAATGAGGAACTGAAGTCTCTTGTTCCATGTCACACATGGGTGCACCCGAGATGCAAACCCTGCTCTGGCAGATCGGAGCATTGAATATTTACAACCCCACCCCGTGTCTGACCTCGATGGCTGACCTCGAATAGCCATCTGGCAGCCCATAGGTACCCTTAGTTACCCAGGTGTGTTTCCTGCCAGATAAATGGCGGCTGAGGCTTAGTGAGTCTGGGGCAATGATCTTTTCATCTGGGGACTAAAATTGTAAACACCAGAGACAGAACTGTCTGAGGCCCCTCTGAAGATTGCTGAAGAGTCAGAAAACAGGCTGGAATTCTAGCTCTGCTTGTACCAGGCTGTGTGCTCTGGGCCACTGTCTCCTTCCCTGAGTCCTACCTTAGAGTCCTCAGGAGAGATGTGACTCGACACTGAGTATCCTCCAAGTATGTTGGCTGCACTCTTTGCCAGCAAGAGTCACTTCCGGGCCCCTGAAGCTCCCTCCACACCTCTCTTCTGCTAGAGTGAGCTGTGGTCCCTTCGTTTGCATATTCACTTAGTTAACCAGTGTTTACTGAGGGTATACTGTAGGCTAAGGCCCCGGCCTGGCCTCACAGATAAAGACATGCTCCATTATTGCCCACAGGGAGAGAGTGCACAGAGGCAAATACTGTGACAGGCACCTGGGTAATGACACTGTAGCAGAGGGACAGGCAGGTGCAGGGAGCACTAACAAGGGCTCGGATACTGGAGTACTCGACAAAGATATGAATTGGAGGAGCGTGGAGCAGTCACATATGGGGAGCACTGAATGAGGAGCAAGACGTAGGAAGACAAGGGAAAAGGGAGACAGATAGGGAGCGTTAGGCAAAGGGTTGGGCAGAAGGAGCTCTGGGCAAGGAATCAGATGCATGGAGCACTGGATGAGGGGGGAGGATGCTGGAGCTGGAACCCAGAACTTTGTGTCGCTGTGCTGTATCACCTAGCTGTGCCCCTGGCCCTGTCGGATGACAGGAGCACCAGGTGAGGGAGGGGAGCTTTGAGCAGTGAGTTTCTAAGTCTGGCTGGAATATGTGGCTCTGTTTAGCCTGAGGCTTGAAGGGTGGAGAATTTTCCAGACATCATTTTGTGGGGTAGCAGGAGAGAAAACTCTGTGTGTGTGTGTGTGTGTGTGTGTGTGTGTGTGTGTGTGTGTGTACATGGGCACACAGAAGGGAAGTACTCCAGACACAGCAGTCTGGAGTACAAAGGGTCTGCCCTTCCAGAGGATTCCAGGAGTCCAGCATTGTACCCTTCACATGGAAGAGGCATGTTTAAAATTTAGTGTAGTCCCAGGCGGGGTATAAGGGATGCTGCCTGGGCAGAATACAGTATATTGAACTGGTCCCTGGGTGACTCTCAGTGGCCAGGTGCCAAGAGGCTGGTGCTTTTTCTGTGCCCAGTCACTGGGTGGAAGTGGGGGGTTTCTTCTTACTCCCTCTCCAAGGGCTGATAACCATTGAGGACTGTGGATGGGTAGCATATGAGTATCAAAAACCCAGTGTCTACAGTTAAATGAACTTGACATGTGGATTTGTGTGTCATTGTGAGGAGACTTCAACAGGGATGCTAGGGAAAAAAACTCCTGAATCCTTATCTGTGAAATGGGCAAGGAATCAGAGTAACCATAGTAATTACAGTATACAATACACGTTTATTTCTTTATTTCTGAGACAGGGTCTTGATATGTAGCTCAGTCTAGCCTTCAACTCACTACTTATGGTGATCCTCCTGCCTGTCTCCCAAGTTCTGGGATTACAGGGGTACACTCCCATTTTTTTGTTTTGTTTTGTTTTGTTTTTTTTGACCGGGTCTTGCTATGTAGCTCAGGCTCAGGCTAGCCTAGAATTACATATGTTGCTCAGGCTGGATTGGAACTCTTGATCCTCCTGCCTCACCCTCTCCCTGGGCTTATACCAGTATGCCCAGCAAGAGCAATGCCTTTGAACTCCAAATCAAGACGGCAGCGTATGTATCTGAAGCTGCAGAAAATTCATGCTCCCTGGCCCACACCTAAGTATAGCTAGAAATGGAGAAGTTGTTTTAGTTTCTTGACTTGGTTAACACTCTTGGGTCATTGCATCAACTCATTTGACCCAGTGTGAGGTTGAACCGCTACTGCCACGCAAGTTTCCGGTGCAATCAGCAGCAAATTCCACTAAGGTCCCTCCTCACCTGTAGGACCACGATGAGCTTCCGCAGTCCAAGAAAATACAACACGTTGACAAGGAAGCTGGGAACATGAGCAACAGATGCACACTCTCACCCGGGAACCCAGCTCTTCTTACCGGAAAGTCCCTCGTGGGAGACTTCGCGAAAGCTCTCTCCCTTTCTATCTACCACTCCCGATCTCGTTTTGTGCGCAGCTTACTTGCTAGAATTTTCTCTCTGCCTCATTTCTCTCCCCCTCGCCCCGTGAGACCTCGGGAGGGCAAGTAG